TCGTGATGCGCAAGTTTCCAAATGGTCATGGCCACCCTTTTCTCCACAGGAATGTGTGACCTCATGCCAGTATCTCGACGCTGTAAGGCAGGACGCAACTCCTCAGCAATATACATCAGTGTGGAGCGTGACATTCTGAATAAAGAAATCCAACACTTGTCATCCTGTTCCGAAGAAATCATTCGCTCCCACCATTCACTACATCTGGGGAGCATCCAGTGTGATCGCTCAGACAGGGCCATCAGCTCGTGCTCATAATGCAGTGCCGGTGAAGAAGAGTACACCATAGTGACCACAGAGACTATAGCATTGCGATGAAGCCGTAACAAGGCTCTCTTACGACGGACACTAGCTGAGAGAATACGCCTCAGCACTGTAGCCGACCGTCGAAATCGCCTCCGCTGAAGAATCCTTGCTATGGCAAATATCACAGTACGCCTGTTCAACATCCATTGTTGCACTAGCAATTGAGAGGTTTGAATACAAGTAGCAAGAAGAGCCAAGCACTCTTGCTCCATTTATCCAGTTTTAACAGTAACAGCAGGTCCAGGAGGAGATGATGCTGTGACAGAAAACCTTTCCCCCCTGGTCAAGGTAGAGATGACATCATCAATCAGGAATCACTCATAAGCAGTCCAATGCACTTCATTTGGATAGGCACTGTTGAATTTAAGGGTAACACATTGTAACTAATTGGCTCTAGTTCACTAAGAGTCATATTTATAATCCAATTTTGAAGGTCTTTTTTTAAAAAAATACAAAGTAGAAAAGTTCAACCATTCACCAAGTTTCACCAAGTTCAGTTCTCACACATTCTCCATTTAAAAATATTTTAAACTTTCAGAGTCACATATGGCTTTTCCATAAATATTTCACTTTTTTTTTTACAAATATTATTTCAGCTGGCCAATTCTCAGTCGAACGTATTATATTTTCCACACTAAGCCATGACTGAGCTAGCATGGCTGAATCCATGACATCTAACAAACAACTGCAGTAATATAGCCGAACTACAAATTCTAGGCCTGCCAAACCCAATAAGGGAAAGACATTCTATATAGGTGCAGACACTCTCTATATATTATGGCTACGTAATGGCACTTGATCTCATTTGAACCGAGCAATATAAAATATATTCTAGAATGGAAGGATAGAAAACATGGGGACAGATCAGTTTAAATCAGGAACACTACAGGTAGTCCTTGACTTACAACCACAATTGGGACCAGAATTAAGTGCTTTGCTTAACAGCAGAAATTTTAGTCCCAATTGTGGTTATAAGTCAAATTAAGTACACTTAACTATCTGCTAAGTGAGTTGTGCCTGATTTTATTACCTTTTTGCCAAAGTTGTTAAGCAAATCACATTGTTACGTGAATCAGGTGGTTGTAAATGAATCTGGCTTTCCACATTGACTTTGCTTGCTGGAAGATGGCTGGGAAGGTTGCAAATGGTGATCACATGACCCCCCCCCAACTCCATAACTGTTATAAACACACTTAAGCACCTGAATTTTGAACATGGGACTGTAGAGAAGCTGTAATGGTCATAAGTGCAAGGACTGGTTGTAATTCACTTTTTTCAGTAACTTTGTAACTGAACTGTCGCTAACAAATGGTGTAAATTGATGACCACCTGTAAGGAATTTATAATTCTAAACCTACAAGCAATACGATCTTCAAATATCTCCTAAAGCATAACTATTCTCAGCCCATCTGGCAGGATGGAAAAGGGATGCCCCACTACCGCTGTATGTAGTGGCAGGATCCTCCTGGTTTAACAACCGATTTTCTGGCACGTGTGCATGCGCAGTTTCAAGAAATCTTCACTTCCTGGTTTCTTAGTAACACAGCTGATTCGTGTGGCAATCTGCTCTACCGCACGAATCAGCTGAAAAGATAAAGATTGGAAAATAGCGCGGGCGAGTGGGCCCATCTGAATGTCGGGGCGAACCGGTTCGTTCCCAGCTGATTGTTGGAGCTATTGGTTCCTCCGAACTGGTAGAATCCCACCCCTGGCTATTTGGCAACCCTTATGAAAATGCAGCAAATGGGAAAAATGCAGCTTTGAAACCAGAAAAGGCTGTAGTCTTGATTTAAATGTTAAGGGCATACTAGGCATTGTTCAATACATTATTTTAATTGTATTTCCTTGGGACAGCTCATTTTCTAATCAATCTGAGTCCCTCTCAATACAAAGTCCCTCTTTTTAGCTTTTCAAATGCCTAATTTAGTTGTGTGACTTATTAGCATATTCCTACCTTTGCTACATATAAATGCGCATCATGGATGCTATAACATCCAGGTTGCATGAATTGAACAGCACATACCTTTTTGTATAGTCCTTTCAGGCATACAAACAGCTTTATCATTATAGGAATCTTTACTCTTGTGATCTAAATAGTAAAGATACCGAGGCCAAGAACCAGTGGCTTGCAAATTTTTTTAATAAATCAATGATACAGATAGTCCTTGACTTACAACAGCTTGTTTAGTAACTGTTTGAAGTAACAATGGCGTTGAAAAAGTGATATGACCATTTTTCACACTTATAATCATTGAGCATCCCCATGGTCACATGATCAAAATTCAGACGCTTCGCAACTGGTTCATATTTATGACAATTGGAGTGTCCCAGAGTGATCACCTTTTGTGACCTTCTGACAAGCAAAGTCAATGGAGAAGCCAGATTCACTTAACAACCGTGTTACTAACTTAACTGCAGTGATTCACTTAATAGTGGCGAGAAAGGTCGTAACATGGGGCAAAACTCACTTAACAAATGTCTCACTTAGAAATTTGGGGCTCAATTGTGGTCGTAAGGTGAGGACTACCTGCAGGCAAAATCAAATCAAGAACCTGGTTTATAGTTTATCTCTTAAGAAGTCCCCTACATTAATTGTCTTGTTATATAACTTTGTTAAAAAAATAACTAGAGAAACTATTAAATCAGGCTATTAGCTACCCTGTTTCTCCCAAAATAAGACATCCCCTGATAATAAGCCCAATCAGGCTTTTGAGTGCATGGCAATAAGGCCAAGCGCTTATTTCAGGGTTCAAAGAAAATATAAGACAGGTCTTATTTTTGGGGAATCGTGTTATTTGCTGAGAAAATTAATAGCATGCAGCTTGAAGGTTTTATCAACTACCACTTATTTAGAGGGTATTTTTATTAAAGATTTTTTTAAGATAAAAAACTAACACTCTACAAACTAATATAAAGTAAAAGAAGAAGAAAGGAAATCAAGGAGAAAGTTAAAAGGGCGAGGGGAAAAAATAAAAGATAAAAAAGAAACAAGTACCTTCCGAAGTTGTAATTAGAAATTTACCTCTCATTCCAGAGTTGCTACATGACTCTTTTTGTAACCTATTTTGTCTAATCACCAAGGTCATAGATTTTAAGTTCATTTTTCTATTTCACGCCAAAAGCCTAAAAAGGCTTTTCAGTCAACAATAAACACAGATATTGTCTTTTTTCTCATCAAAGAAGTCAATTTAGCCATCTCAGACATTCTATCATCTTCCCCAACCATTCCTCCATCGTGGGTAATATCAACTATGCCACTTCGTTGCAGGTTACATGGGCTTTTCCAACATTACCCTATAATTGGTGCAGAGGCTTGAAACCTAGGTTTTCCCCCCTATAACCTGTTACTGCTCAAAAATAAAAGACATTATTAGGGCCTCTCCCACCCGGCTCTCGTCATGTGCAACCCATAACAGCTCAGTAATTTAATGGGCTGCCAGAGCCCAAATCCTACCACAGCAGGCTGTTGTTCTTCACTGTCATTGTCCTGGCCTGCTGCTTTCGTTTTGTGTGGCTCACTGTGCTGGCATGTGATGACCATACAGGATTACGGAGGGAACATTGCAATGATGCTGTCATTTGTCTATGCTGGTTAGCACCAGGGAGGTAAACAGAAACAACTGCACTGAGATGTAAAAGAGTAAACAGATTGGAGATTGTAGTCATGGCGATACAATATTTTTGGTGCAACATACTTTGTTTTTATCAATCATTTTTTTATTATTACATTATAACTGGATTAATAATTTTAAAGATTCAGTACCTGTTGCATTTTTGCATGTTTATGAATTTAGCCTTCTCTTTAGGATATTTTATGTAATGTGGCTGCATTCATTTGAGTTTGAGACCCCTATTCTGTTGCTTTCTAATTAGAAAAAAGAAAAGAAAGAACATTTTTATTGGGTTTACAGAAATGCTGTTACATAGATTGGAATTGCGGATTGTGTTTTTACAGGTAGTTCTCAACTTAAAACCATTTATTTAATGCCTATTCAAAATTACCATGGCACTGAAAAAAGTGACTTACATTCATTTTTCACACAATCATTGCAGCATCCCCATGGACGCATGATCAAAATTTGGATGCTTGGCAACTAGTTCATATTTATGATAGTTGTAGTGACCCAAGGTCATGTGATCACATTTTGACTTATTGACAAGCAAAATCAGATTGATTGTCAACTGTGTTATTCCAGTGATTCATCTAACAATTGTGTTAAGAAAAGTCGTAAAATGGGTGCAAAACTCTCTTAACTGTCTTGCTTAGCAACAGAAATTTTGGGCTCAATTGTGGTCTTAAGTCAAGGACTACCTAGTATTCTTTAGCATTTTTTTAAACGTATTTTTTCCTACATTTTAAACTGTCATGCCATATTTTTTTGTAACCCAGGATATGGATCACAACAGTTGTATAAGCTTTGGGGAGCATTATTTATTTTTATCCCACCTTTCTTGCCAAGTTTGATTACAACAAGATGTTATATAAAGTTGAAGCATGTAAGAAAATTATAAAATGTTTTGATAATAAAGAAATGAAGTCACCTGTGTTTTGTTTAAATGATCTCTAGAGGCAGTAGTATATAAACGTTTTAATACCAAAACCAAATGATGTATTAAGTGGAAAAGATACAGTTCATAAATATATTTGCTCATATTTATGAAATACAGTTAAATTATTTTCCCCATATTAATAGAGCAACAATCTGAGCTACATTGCTGTATCTTGATGAAGTATACTCTCCCGCCACCACTTCTGGACTCTATTTCAGCCTGAAAATTTGAAGATTGTTCCCCTTCCCATCAATTCTTTTAGTCCAAATAAAATGTTACTAGTCTTTTAAAGATTATTTAAGGCCAAGTATTTTCTTATATCTGCTAATCTTGTGTAATTTGCTCGAACCATTCAGAAAGGCTATTAAAAACTGAAGCCAGGTCTTTATCTGGAACAAAGAGTGTGAGCTTGAATAATTAAACTAATACATGTGTAGGTGTGTGTGTCTATGTGCAACTCTGTGCCTGGAATGGTGTAAAGAATAGCTGGTGTGAGGAAAACTGCGTCATAATAATCAGGGACATTAATTCTGAGACGGGAAGCTAGAATTGGTAGTGAGATATGGCTTACATTCAACAAAAAATGCAGACATTCCGCTGATTATGAACAAGGGAAATGGTGTGAGAGAAAAGGGAAGAAAGTCATTATTTTGCCCCCACTCCCAAACTCTACTTATATCAGACTTCTGTTCATTAGAACGTTTTATTTACGTGTGGGTGTGCAGTGATGGGAGGAAGGAACAAAAAAGAGCATCAATAAAGGTTAATATTTGTAGCTCAGGGTTGAGATGAGGGGTCCTTGGTCCTTCTCTGAGTTTGCTTATTTTCTTGCAGACGTTTTCTTACCCTCACTAGGCAACATTACCTAGTGAGGGTAATGAAACATCTGCAAGAAAACAAGCAAGCTCAGAGAAGGACCAAGGACCTTTCAAAAAAGAGCATGTCTAAAAATTAGGGGAAAATGAAATAAAAGTTTTTTTTCATGACTCACGAAACTACATGGGATGCAACCATAGTATGGATGCAGAAAACGCTTGGGTTACAAGTTTGTATTGTTATTTGGTTCTTATATGCAAAGCTGGCTACACGTGTGATCAATTTTTTCTTCTTATTATGCATAAGTTTTCCTCATTGGACTCAGCGAAGGTCATGGACTCTTGTTATTTTCCGAATAAGCCTCCGAGGAAGACCTGCTGAGAAATAAATGCCCGACCTAAAGCTCTCCAGTAAATTCATGGGGAAACAGCCTTCCCAGCCCTCTCGCCTAACCGTATGGCGAGATTTAGGCACGAGCAGTGAAGTCCTGCCGTTGGAGCCCGTTTTGTCTCAAAGCCTGTCCCGATACTACCCCGCTCCAATAACTCTGCCGTCCAAAGCACGCAAACCTTTGAGCGGAATCCACTCAACGACGGGCTGTCTCGGTCTACGACAGCTAAACTGAAATCCTAAAGAACTTGTAGTTGTCAGTGCTTAGCAACCGACAACTGAACGAAAGTCCTACTGTCGAGAAAAAAAACGCTGTCGGGAGGAAAAAGCACGAAGGGCATCAAAGCAACGGCCTCGTCTTACCTCCCGTCCCTTTTTCCTTCAAAGCCGCAGCTTGTCGGAGGATGCTACTGTCTCTTTAAGAGGAAGCAACGCCGCCGATTCCTCTTCTTTTGGCGTGGCAACCCTATTCGATACTTTCGACCACGGGCGAAGATGACACCTTCCCGCGCGCCGCCGTAGTCGTCATCGTCCGAGTGAAGGTCGCTTTGAAGTGACGCAGACGCGCGCATGTTAAGTAGTACGCACGCGCGTCCCGCGCTTACGATTTTCTCCTTGGAAACACTGCCCCCTTTCCCAGATACGTGGATGCTCACGCCCCACTCCGGAACAGGTTGACGGGAGATCGTATCTTCCAAGAATCGGAGCTCTTCTCTCCCCCCCCTTCCCCGCCCCCCAGTGGAGCACTCTATCTTCCGAGAGCCATTTTGACTGAGGGTTACCGCGCGCATTTGAGGGAGTTCAGGCTGAACATGGGGGAAAAATAGTTTGAGGTAACCGTTAGAAGTCGTTCAATTTTACCTGCCCACCCTCCCGTGTTATTTTTCTTGAATAAGCAGCCCTTTCCTCTTAGGTTGGGAAACCAAGGAGTTACTTTTTATTCAGTGACTTCTCCTGGTTACTTGGGAGAGCCAAGATTTTATTATTTTTAAGCTGAGAATTTTTATAAGCAGAGTAACACTTAAAAAAAAAACAAGGCTCGTTTATATTAAAGATGTTCCAGATCAGGTAGCTAATTAGGTTAAATTGCATTACTTCATACAATAGGGTCAAATAAATGAAAGCCAGTAGCAAAGGATTCCTTTCATATATCACTGAGATGCAATCTTATATCTTCCCCCCTTAGAACTACTGTAGATTCTTTGGTGCTCAGTAAGCACTATAGCTTGCTAAACATGTTAGAAAACTAAAGGGAAAGGGCTGGAAATTTCATGAGTTAAGTAGTATTTGCATTGTAGCAGTTTGAAGGGCAGCAAAGCCAAATTAAGAAATTACACTCACGTTATTTCTTAGCTGACTATGTCTCATCTAATAAAACTTCCAAGATACTCTATGAGGTTGAAAGAACTCATGGAAAATTTTCATCTATTTCGAAATATCCCGTTTGTGTCCCTTTTAGCACAGCCAGCTATTCTTACTGCCATTTCCTTATCCTGGTGGCAGCACACGAATGTTCTGTGTTAAGAAGTAAGACACTGCTATGGCAAGTGAAATGAATTTAAATAAATTCTTTTTTTTTTTTTGCCTTTATTTTCAGGGGAATCCAGAGAAATTAAATTCCATGTGAAGAAATTAAAAACCAGAGCGTTGAATCAGAGATAGAGAGAGATGGTGGGGAATGGGTGAGGCATGAGCCTCACCCAAGACAATTTAGGCTAATACAGCAAGGGAAGGGAGGTAGGCAGGTGGCATTGCTTCCCCTTTCAAGATGCCTGGACTCTCCAATCTTCAAGAGGGTTGGGTGGGTTGCCTTGCCTCTCCCCATACACCCCCCATATCTTAGCGGTGCTTCCCCTGGATATTCATGGAATTAACCCTTTCCATCCAAGGTTTCCGAGTAGACCATCACTCTGCTAGGAGCTAGAAGAAAATATAAAAATGGAAAGTATTGTGAAAAATGTATCTTTAAAGAGAGATGCTACATGGGTAGTGCACAAATTTCCAGCTCTATGCTTTTGCAAGATATACTCCTCTTCCAAAACAAATGGATGCTTAAAAGATGCCCTCTACATATCTGCTTCAATCTATACAATTTTCCCATAAAAATAGAATCTTGGGTACAAAATTAGAACAGCATTACTCTGCTGTTGCTCCCACCTGATTGTGAGATTGCTCCCACCTGTTTTGCTCGTTTCTTTTTGTGCTTGTACAAATGTATCTACCATTGGACAGAAACATTTTGGACTCCCAGGATCCCCAGCCAGCACAGCTATGGTCATCAGCATATAAAAGGGCATTCAATAGGGGAGCAGCACATCCTTTTCCTATGATTCCTCCACCGTTCTCCAATTTACTTTCCACTTGCAAACCTTTACTTCATGTAATTGTACTCTCTTGCAAACATCGAACCATTAGAGGGACTAGTCCTTAAATACAATCCTTAATTTCAACCAACTTTAGTAGTATGAAAATACAGCACAGATCCCATATAATCCCCATTCAAGCTTAAAATAGCTACTTATGCAATTAGAGTAGTCATTATTAGTTTAGCTGCACCACCATTTCAGAATGTATATTCATCTAAGAATTCTAAAAGAAAGTTCTTCCACTGCTTACCTTGACTATGTAGCTCCCATATATGGCTCCACTCTGTATCGGGAGAAGAAAAAAGATTAGAAGTCAAGCATTACTGTATTTTATTCCTAAAGAATACCTACTATAAGTCCCTCTGATTGTCTTTATTGTCCAACAGGAAGTTTCTAAATTTTAATTCAATTGAAAAAAGCTGGTCCAGATGTGCAGCAACCATATATAAATCAAACTAATAATAAAAATAAATAAACCACATGTCCAGCTCCCTGCATTATTTAACAAAACTGAGAACCCTGACTCAATTTCTATGCACCTAAAATGTGTCTTATGATTGAAAGTTGCTCAATATATTCTGCTACCAATAGATTAATAGCCTCAAAACATGCAGACATCCCTTTCCTTGTGCAGTACTGTATTCTTAAGGCTATCTTACCTTCAAAGTGATAATTTCTTGCAGCCTGCCAGTCATTGGCTTCCATGTTTTCCCAACAAGCTTCAGCATCTGCATTTTCTGTCTCCTTGACTGGTGCCGTTCCACCACCCCCTCCATGCCCGGCTCCTGGCTCATTGATAAAGGAGAGGCCCCACTCATTTTGGAAGATGGCTCCGAGGTGCTGCCGCCGACTGCTATCGGTTGGTGGGGGACTGCAGGGGGGTGGCGCCAAGACACAGTTGGGGAGGCTATTAGTGGTGCGGACAGCCGAGGCTGGAACATGGCAGGCTTTGCCTGGTTGATCCAAGTTCTCTTTCAGCTTGCTGGCATAAGAGATCTTGGGAATGATCCTGGCACTGCTGCTATCAACTGGGAAAGCAGGAAGGGGCCGAAAGAGTGACCATGTTTCCTTTTCGGATTCCTCAGTGGTTACACTGGAGGCATTAAATGTAACAGCAGGCTTCTCACTGGCTTTGATAGTACTGACTCGTTCCAATTCAGGGGAAGACAATGGGGAGGGTGAGTCAGAATAGCCACGGCGTCGATGCTGCCATCTCCCATTGGAAAGACCCTCTGGAGCACAGTGGTGGCCATTAGTGCTAGGTCCCCATTCCTTGCGGTCTGAGGGATTGCCTCGATAAGTTTTGCGGTAGGCAGGACGGAAGGGCCGGCCATGATGGAAATTAGGAGGATAACGGCGGGTATGCTGGGGAGGGTCTCGCTCAGACAGCTGGAGATTGCGGATGTTAAGGCTGTTGGAAGGACTCAGGGGAACACTGGGCTCATCAACTATCTCAGAACTTGCAGTATATCCATTTGACTCCCATGATCCTGAGGAAGGAAAGCAAATTTGAGATCTATTATCACTAACTGCAGAATACAAATATGTTTCCCCCCTTTAAACTATTTCACTGAAGGTCTTTTGAGGTGGGGAAAAAACCATTTCTTCTCCCCCCCCCAGCTGCCTTCCCTATAGACTGCTGCATTAGCATTAGAAGGTTCAATAATAGAAGGTGCTAAGTCATTTCAGGCTAGCATCCATGTATTTGTACAGGGCATTTTGTTCCTAGATTATTCAGTTTTATGAATAAACCAGATGCTGAAATTTAGCTTCCTATTGCCATTATGGTTATTTCTCAAGGTGGAATGGGAGAATGCCCAATAGCTACAGCTCTCATTCATTAAAAAGCTGCCCTTGAAGCTGCTAAATCTCTCAAGCAATATTAGTTTTCAAGAAAAATAATGGTGTTGCCACTGCAAAATAAAGAGAATATAATAATGAAATATCTGTGCTATGATATGGGTTCAACAAATGTTAAAATCTAAAACAGATTTTCCTTGTTTAACTTTCCGTGATAAGAAGCTTCTAACCTAGACAACTTTTTTGGATTAAATAGGCCAGTGAGCTATCTTCACATTCTTGTCAGAAAAGCATCCTACCTCTAAGCCTAAAGAAGGACTCAGAATACAATTCTTGAGGTTTGATAAAACCATCAACAGGGTGGTGGGGAAGAAACTGTTTTTTTCTTCCTTCACACATGGCACAGAAGCAAGACAGAAAAATGGGAGAAATGGAGTGATTCCTCTATCAGTTCATTCACTTAATGCTTTTCCTAATCAGTAATGGCAACTGATCAAGTTGATGAACACAAGACTTTCATGTCAAAGTGCATCACATAAACTCAAACCTTTCAATCCCCTTCAAGAGATAAAAATGTCTTCACAACACAATTGTGAAACCGTCTCCAGCAAACTGAGAAACCACAAAATAAAACCAAGTGTCCAAAGGATTCTAAACTTTTTATTCTAAACAAACTGCTTCCCCCCCCCCCATGTTGGAAGAGAAGGTTGATTTAAATGTTTTATATGCCAAATCAGTACATAAGCTAAAGTAGCAGACAACTGCACCTTTTTCAATGGACAAGAAAGGATGCATCTAATACACACTGGATTTTTTTTGAAATATTTTCATGGCCACTGCAGTAAAGCCATCTCCAGTCAAAAGATACACAGAGGTATAAAAAAAATAAAAGGGGGAACACCCCGTTCATTACAAAAGAATAGAGTGTGATTAGAATCAGGTTTTAAGGCAATTAAGTGTCTTCAAACAGAAGATACTTAACATATTAAAAAATTGTGGGGAAAATTTATAATTATTCAGTAATGAGAGAAGCCCATGGTTCTGTGAAAATTTAGGGCAATTGGTGATTTAGGATAAGACTAATATTGAGTCTATCAAGAGAAGAAAAGCAAGGTAGCTGGCTTGGAGGGATTCCACTGAAAGTTTATTGTTAAGGCAACAACAACAACTGAAATATGAATACACTCTTATGCTGGATAAAGCATTGATCAGAGTAATTCCTAGGGTTTACGGGTTAAGAGATTCATGCAAAAATTTGGTGATGGGTAGTGAAGCTAAAAAGCTCCTTTGGGAGCATAACTGAGAAACCTTTCAACAGTTTTAATGTTGAAACCAAATGGCAAAGACCTGAATGCCTAGGCACATGGATTTTTGCAAGCCTTGTAATAGATTCAAACAATTTAGAACATAAAATATTGGCCAGTGGCTTAGTTACCTGTTCGGATACGGTTGTTGAGATTATGGCATTTCTCCTTCTTTCCCCCCAGGAGACGCAATTCTTCCTCCGGGTTGCGATTCTCATCCATGCCCAGTTCTTCTTTCTGCATGGCCTCTACCTGGGCTTGAATGTAGGTCAAGGAGGTGAAAGATATTGACCACCCAGGGGCCTGACTGAAGTCCAGCTCCAACTCTTCGCTTTTTAAAGAAAATATAAGCTTCCTGGTGATGACTCCTTTTCTACACTATTAAAACGTTCTCAAAACTAACAAGATTGGGAACTGCGCCACTTGTTGGGAACTACAGAAAGCCACTCAAACTGTAGAAGCTTCTCCAGTGAAATCCCCAGATTTCCTGCCCTGCTCCTCCAAATTTGCGGTGCTTCCGGAGAGAGTGAAATGGGTTATCTAGTACCGGTACCCACGCTCGTTATTCTTCACCGTGCCTTTTGCTTCAACACCCTAAACTTTCTCTCCACCACCCCCACCCCCCCGCTTCCCCTCCAGTAAACGACCTCCTACAAACTCTTGTGCAAAGCTTACAAAACACACATGCGCAGCAGATTCCCTAGTCTCGGGCTCAGCGGCCTCAAAAAAACGAACAAGCAAGCAAACAAAAAACCCTCAATTTCTCCCCTCCCTGCGTTTACTCCGCACCAAGGCCGCGATCCCCCTTCCCGGAATCCACCTCTCCGCAACCGTAACAAAAGCAGCGGCTGCACCGGCGGGCCGCCTGAAAAACGCCTCTTCCCTCTCCGAGGATTTTCCTCGCGAGCCCCACACCCAATGCGACTTCCACCCTTCCTTTGCCCGGAGCTCTGCTGCCCTCTAGAGCGGCTCCCAAAAGCCCGATCCAAGCCGCCTCCCCGCTTTTTCGGAGGGCTGGCGGATTTCCGTTACGGTCCGCCCGCTCCAATTCGTCCGCGGGAGGCCCAGCTAAACTCCCCGTCCAAAAGAAAGAAAAGAAAAAAGAAGAAGGAGAAGAAGGAGAAGAAGGAGAGGGAGAGCGAGCGAGCCCTACCTCCGGCTCCCCCCGAAAAAAAGGCTGCCAGGAACCTCGACCCGAAACCCGAAAAGGCTCCCCTCGAGGAAAGCCCCGCCGCCAAGCTTTGCTCCAAGGCTCCCGCTGCCCCGCCCCGACCTTCAGAACCGGGCCCCGCTGCGCTCCAAGCTCTCTGCTCCCGCCCGCCGCTTCCCTCAGGCCCAGGCAATTCCCCCCAAGCCCGCCCGGCACATTCAGCCAGCCAGCCAGCCAGCCCCCGCCACGTGACCGGTTTCCCCCTTTGGCCTCCTCGGATCATGTGACCTCCCAGCGCAGGGCGGCTTCCGGGGTGGGGGCTCTCCAAGCACGTGGGCCGGCCTCGTCCCGTGATTCTCCTGGTGTCACGTGGCCGCGGGAGGGCGAGGCTCTCTGGGTCTTGCTGGTGAGCTTTCTTTCGACGCTTCCCAGAGGAAGGTGGCGCGCCTAAAACCACATTCGCACGACATTTAGAATAATTAGATTCCTGCCCAGCTTTTTGTTACAGGAACTTTGTCCATAGTTGCTCCCTCCCTCTGCGAAGTGGAATGGGCTGGCCCAAAGTCTCCGTGTAAGCTTCCCTGGCCGGGGCGGGATTAGAATTTGGGTCTGCCCACTATTAATATGGAACACCTGAGTTCCTACGCCACCTGCCTCCGAATAGTTTCCACCGGTAGGTGATCAACCGCACCAGGTGGACCAGATCCAACAATCAACTTCTCTGGAGGACTGGAACTGTAATTATTGTTAGGCTGCAATAACGGAATCCTGCAAGTCTGACTGCTTTTTCTCTTCTCTGCCTTACCCTCCAGGGAGTCAGGGAGAGTCTGACTTGGGTCTGTTCTTAACACTATGGATGTCTATTCTCAGAATTTAAGAATGCTGCTATCCTTTTTTTTTTTTTTTTGCTTGCATAACAGTTTCTGAATATTTGATCCAAGGCCACCTCTTTGACACTCTACACCTTGATTTCAGTGGGTTGGCTCTTTCACTTACCCACAGGTGTGTTTATTTAGGAAAGACATTCCAAGGATTTACGTTTGAGTAATTAGAACAGGTTATTTGGTTGATTAAGTTCAGCTCCTTAATCTTCAACTCTTGAATGCATGGACCGATTCTTGCCATCCTGATTTATCTAAATCAAAAACCAACTATAATCCCTTTGATCCCTCCTATCAGTTGTTTTTTCCTCTCTTTCTCACATCCTTGCAAAACATATTTTTTGTAGCCCAGTGGGTTTGCAAATTATTATAAATTTATGAAAGATTGTATGCAGCAGTGTTTAGCAGTCAACCTGCAAAGTTTCAGATTAATTACAACACTAAGGACCAACCAAACTTCTTTGGGTAGAAATGATCTTTCCAACCTACTTCATTCATTTTAGTCCCTTAGTACATATTTGTCTATTTTTATCACCGCTTGTTAGGAAAAACTTGTAATTGCAGCTACTTAAATTTGGAGTAGCAATTAAATGAGATAGATATATAAGCAGGGAAAAAGAACTTATCTTTGTGCAACAACAAAATCTGGTGGAATAAAATTATCAGTTCCAGTAAAAGAGAACATTTGTAGATCAGTGTTGAAATGAGGAACCCTTGCTGATCTCTTCAGTTTGGTGGTTGATGTTACCTAACAGATTTAACAGAGTAACAGAATTGGAAGGAACCTTGTAGGTCATCTAGTCCAATCCCTGCTCAAGCAGGAGACCCTGCACAATTTCTGACAAATGGCAGTCCAATCTGTTCTTGAAAGTCTCAAGTTATGAAGCTCCCACAACTTTCGAAGGTTGATTGTTCTCGCTGTCAGAAAGTTCCTCCTCATTTCCAGGTTGAATCTCTCCTTGGTCAGTTTCCATCCATTATTCCTTGTCTGGCCTTCAGGTGCTTTGGAAAATAGCTTGACCGTTTCCTCTCTGTGGCAGCCCCTCAAATATTGGAACACTGCTATCATGTCTCCCCAGTCCTTCTCTTCACTAAACTAGCCATGCCCAGTTCCTGCAACCATTCATTGTATGTTTTAGCTTCCAGTCCCCTAATCATCCTGGTTGCTCTTCTCTGCACTTTTTCTAGAGTCTTAACATTTTTTTTTATAGTGTGACCAAAACTGGATGCAGTACATCTAGGTGTGGTCTTACTAGGGCTTTACAGAGCGGTATTAGTACCTCACTTGATCTTAATTGTATCCCTCTGTTAATGCAATTTAGGATTGCATTGGCTTTTTTGGCTGCCACTGCACACTGCTGGCTCATATTTAGCTGATTGTCCACTAAGACTCCAAGATCCTTCTCACAGTCACTGCTATTAAGCCTGGTTTCACCCAGTTTATATGTGTGCTTTTGGTTTTTCTTATCTAAGTGTAGGGCTTTACTTTTCTCTACATTGAATTTCATTTTGTTAGATAGGGCCCAGTGTTCACGTCTGTCAAGATTCATCTGGATCTTGCCTATCTTCTAGGGTATTAGCTATTCCTGCCAGCTTAGTATCATCTGCAAATTTGATAAGTTCCCCTTCTATTCCCTCATCTAAGTTGTTTATGAAGATATTGAAGAGTATTGGGCCTAAGACGGAACCTTGTGGCACCCCACTGCTTACTTCTCTTCATGTAGACTTAGACCCATTAAGGACTACTCGTTGAGTATGATTTGTCAGCCAGTTTATTTATTTATTATTATTTATTTATTAGTTCAATTTATATGCTGCCCTTCTCCGGAGACTCAGGGCGGCTTACAATGAATTTAGAAAACCATTATAAAAACATTTAAAAATTAAAACATTAAAACCCATTCACACCATTCATGGCCGGATCTCACAAGATCGCAACAGCGAGATCAACGGCCCCAGGCCTGCCAGAAAAGCCAGGTCTTCACCGCTTTTTGGAAGGCCAATAGGGTGAGTGTGGTCCGGACCTCAGGAGGTAACTGGTTCCAGAGAGCTGGGGCAGCCACAGAGAAGGCCTTCCCCCGTGGACCCGCCAGCCGGCATTATTTAGCTGACGGGACCCGGAGGAGACCAACTCTGTGGGATCTTACCGGTTGCTGGGAGCTATGTGGTAGAAGGCAGTCTCTAAGATAACCTAGCCCTGAGCCATGTAGGGCTTTAAAGGTAATAACCAACACCTTGAATTGTGCCCGGAGACCAATAGGGAGCCAGTGTAGCTCGCGGAGAATTGGTGTAATGTGGGTGTATCTAGGTACACCCATGATAGCTCGCACGGTTGCATTCTGGACCAACTGTAGTCTCCGAACACTTTTCAAGGATAGCCCCATGTAGAGCGCGTTGCAATAATCTAACCATGAGGTGACAAGGGCATGAGTGACTGTGAGGAGAGCCTCCCAATCCAAGTAGGGTCGCAATTGGTGTACCAGGCGAACCTGTGCAAAGGTCCCCCTAGCCACAACTGTCAGATGTTGCTGTAATCTTAGCTGTGAGTCTAGGAGGACACCCAAATTGCGAGCCTGTTCTGAGGGGCACAATTTCTCCCCCCCCCCCAGAACCAAGGATGGACAATCAACATAGTCTTTAGGAGGCAATACCCATAGCCACTCGGACTTGTCTGGGTTAAGTCTGAGCCTGTTGACTCCTATCCAGACCCTCACAGCCTCCAGGTACTGGCACATCACATCCACTGCATCACTGAACTGAGTTGCAAATCTGAAGCTATCTATCCTACTTTTTTCTAGCTCACGAAGATGTAGGTTGTGATCTACTTTGTTGAATGCCTTCTACTTTGTCAAATGCCTAATTTGTGTAGTAAAATGTCTTCAAGAAAACAAGCAAGCTCGAAGAGAACCAAGGATCCCTCAAATATCAGTTATGTTCAAAGGCAAGCCAAGTGCTTCTATTGCAGTTTGAGATATACTTTTAAATGCAGTATCACTGTCTCAGAAGCAGTTTGGTTTGGTGGCTAAGGGCTCAGGTTAGAAATCTAAAGAACAAGAGTTCTAGTTCCATTTCAGGCAAAACTAGCTGAATAACTTTATGGCCAGTCTCTCTCAGCCATAGAAAGAGGGCAGTGGTAAACCACTTTTGAAAATGTTGCCAAGAAAACAGCAAGGACTTGTCCAGACAGTTGTGAAGAGTCAAAGTTAACAGACAGACAGATGATATATGAAGTCCTTAAAATTTAGAAGTGACTGCATCTTTATCACTGTTGCCTATCACTACAGCCTATACATTGTTGCTAAAACAGTATTTTGGAATACTCCTTGCATAAATGTTCCTGCAAATGTATGTCTGGAATGCTGTATCCAATCTTAATATAAGGGTCTATCAATCTGAGCTTGGTTTCCAGTTTTGAAGTCTTTATGACAATTGACTATGAAAAATAGGATTCGTGGGAATGGAAGTAAAAACCATGTTGAGGACATTAGGTTAGGAAAAAGAAGTAATATATATCTCAGATAGAAACATAGGAAACTTACGGCAGAAAAAGACTCAATGGTCCACTGAGTCTACCTTTGCATTTTTTTCGTTTTATTTTTTATTTAAATTTTTATTTTTAAAAAAAAAAAATGGATGAGACACATTTATCTCTAGCATGTTCAAACTTTTATTAATGACTGACTCACTACCTCTGCTGGAAATAGCTTCCAAGCTTCCACTACTATTCTTGTGAAGTAATACTTTCTAAAATGACTTTTGAACTTCTGTCACTTGAGGTTATGTTCTGTGTTCTTAATCAAGTTTTTTGTGTATACTCTCCACAAATTACAGATATAAAGCCATCAGAGTAGTTTTTTAAAAAATGAAGTAAGCTACTCATGTACTCATCCGAACTAGACGTGTTGTTTCTCTGTGTCATATATGTGAGTATATGCATACGTTTTATTTGTCATGTTTATGTAGTGTATATTGGAGGTGGTGAACTTTTGAGAGCTGTATGCAACAAAAAATCATTTTAACATATGCTAATTAGTGTACATTTAAAGTGATCATTATTCTAAGTCTAATGTAATCCTTTACAGCAACCTCTCTTTCTTATGTATTGGATGGATTTACTCGATTCATGTAGAAGGCATACTAACAGCCCATCACCTTTTCAAATGTAGATTCTCAAAGATCTAGAACTGGATGAGAAATATATCCATATGCTTGGTTTTCGCCTTCTCCATGAAAGGCTACACAGAGAACAGGTAAATGTGGGATTAGGTTTATGCCTTGCTAACTATACCCAGAAACCTCCATTGTAGCATCTGAAATTAAGAAAAGGACAAACCCCCTGGCTTAGACAGATGAATGAAAGCTGTGCTAAATATCCTAGGATAGAATAGCTGCTTGAGGAATCTCCCCATCCCCTGGAAAAGAGAGAAATAATAGACAACAGATTTATTTTTTAAAGCAGGAAACTTTTATTACAATAATTTAATAGAAAAAAAACCCGCAGTTTAAATAAATTATACAAATACAAAATTACAATAATTAATTCAAGATAACCTCCTCCAGGGAGGAGAGGGTATACTGAAAGAATTTGGGGAGGGGCAGCAAAACTTGAGATAATACATTAGTTCATTATAATCTCAACTCTCCCCTTACTGCCATTATTAGGCATATCCAAAGAGTCCATCAAATTACTGGATTAAAGGGCTGCTGGAATGCCCTGTAGCAATTTGCTACATCTAATGTGAAACAGCGTACCATTCCAACAGAAAACAGAAGGGGAGTTCAAATACTGGGTTAGGTTGGACTGGGGTGATACAGGATAAAGTATTGTGGTGTTCCAAATAAATGGAGAATTCTCTAACAAACCTTACATTTGATTGTGGCCAGAAGCATGGGAAAATTATATATACAGCATATGCCTACTAAACTAAAGATGGAAAGCATTTTAAAAGATATCTTATATTGTTAGCGGGTGGAAAGACTTCAGATGAAATTTGGATTCAGTTATATTAGAAGGCAAAGACCCCACTAAAATCTAGTCTGGAGAATTAGTTATTATCATCTAGATCACGAATGTCAAACTCACGGCGTCACGTTGCCATCACGTGACGTTTCATGACATTTTTCCCCTTCGTGGAGCTGGGGTGGTTGTGGCCTGCATGTGATGCATCTGGCCCGTGGGCTGCCAGTTTGACACCCTTGTGATAATGTTATCATCTAGATAAGCAACATTAATTTGTTTAGGCAGCACCTTGTCTTAGACAGCTGAGAAAGAAATGGAAAAATATATTGACTAGGTACCAAAATGGCAGTCATTAAAAGTGTAAGTCCAAAGTTAAATCGAAGTAGGTATTTTGACTTACACATACATATTTGATCTTATCTACTTTGGTATTAAAAATGTTCTAGGATATAAAGTTTATAGCAGCCTTTAGGGAACCATAAGGCCATCTGACTAAGGATAATTAGAATAGAGCTAAATGGGAGTCTCCTTTCTGAAAGGAAAGCAGTCAGATTAAAGAAGCTGTGAAGAAAAGACCACAATCTTAACCTGTGTGTACTGTAAGGATTACAAGGCAGACCGATCAGGCTGCTGGGAAGAGAAGGCCAGATATTAAGACTCAAATCAATAATTAGAACATTCCAATAAATTATACAACGACCAAGGCCTTTTATTGTCACAACAAAAGTAGGTGAGAAGGGGAAGACGTGCTCAAATTAGTTAAAAAATAGGAATATATATATATACATGCATATATATATATATATATATATATATATATTAAAAAGACCTTGAACATAAAAGACTTAGAAAGAGCACAAACACCAAAGAGGACCCTCTTGGGTTAAATATCAAAAGAAAAATGGTCCTCCTTTGGCACGGAAGAATTGGAGCGATGAGGACCTTGGAAACAAGGCTGGATCAGTCTTTGAAAACAGCCTGGTGGCCATGAGGGCGTTCGTCATGCATAATGTGCCTGCGGACGTGAATACGCCGGACGCGGTGCTCCCGCCCATCTTCGTCATCACCAGCACGGAGGGGGCCTCCGCCTCCACCCGCAACTCCTCCAGTGGCTTCCAGGAGGGCCTTGTCTGGTACCCGTGGTGTCTCATAGATCAGGATGTTCAGCGTTTCTTCAAAGATCCGGGCTTCAGGAAACTCGACCTGTACACCCAAGGGAAAGCAGGATGAAGCAAGTCTCACTATGGGATCCCCTGTTCAAACTGGAAGCAATGTAATTAACCTCTAGCAATATGCTCAATGCCAGTTGCTGAAGAACACAAACTAGAAGTAACTACCTCCTTGTGTCCTTCCTGTGAGTTTACGCCCCTCATTAGCTATCTCAAGGACAGAATTCTGGACTAGACAGAGTACTAGTTTCATCTTACATGTTTAATTGGATTTAGGAAAGGCTATTTTCTTTAAGAGTTTACATTCCCATATGAAGACACCAAAACATACAAGTAGTCCTCAACTTACAGCTGTAATTGAGCCTGGAATTACAGTTGTAAGTCATGCTGATTAGGTGGGTCTTGTGACTGACTCAGTTTTTTTAGGTTTTTTTTTTTTCCTATAGTGGTTGTTCAATGAATCATCACAGTTGTTAAGCAAACACATTATCTGCAGTGGGCACTGGAAGCAAATTCTGGTTTTTGGCAAAAGATGCTTTAAATTGTGGTCACGTGACTGCAGAATGCTGCAAACGGCCATAAATGGGGACTTGCTCCTGAGTGCCCAAAATGTAATCATGTGACTGTGGGGGAGAGGAGTAGATGTTAAAACTTAGAATCTGGATCATAAGTACCTTTTTGGGGGGTTGTCATAACTGAACGGTTACTAAACAACTGCAAGTCAAGGACCACACATACAGGTAGTACTTGACTTAACAACTGTTCACTTAGTGACTGTTCGAAGTTAAAATGGCACTGAAAAAAGTGTCCTATGACCATTTTTCACACTTATGACCCTTGTAGCATCTTCATGGTCATATGATCAAAATTCAGGCACTTGGTAATTGATGCACACCTGTAAAACATTTTATACAAATTTTCCTTATACGCTGTAGACATTGTCATTTTATAGTTATGAGACCACAATTTTTGCCATTTTATTCAGACAGACATTTATCGTGGTCCAGGTTAGACATGATATGGTCAACAAGGGAATTGTTGAATATAGAACATGTGGAAATAGAAACTAATTTATGGGTGGATCATAACCCGGGATGATAACTTGGAAAGGACAAAAAAGAAGAGCTAGATGGACTTTAAATAATACAATATTAAAAGAGCAAGAGTTTGTGCAAAAAGATGGAAAGAGAATTGGCCTTCTTCTTTAAGGAAAACAAGAAAGATGAGACATCTATACAAATCCGCTGGGATACAATGGAGGCCTTTGCTAGAGGATTAATTATAGATTATACAAGAAAAAAGAATGTAAAAAAAAGATTAACACTGAAAACACTGACTGACGATTGTAAGACTTGAGAAGGAACTTCAGAATGATCCACATAAGAAGATTGTCAAAATTAAAATGAATACAGTAAAACATAAAATGGATCTGTTGGAGAAGGAAGAACTGGCTCAGAAGATAAGAAGTGCTAAACAAAATTATTTTGAAAATGCAAATAAACCAGGCAGATGGCTAGCATGTAAATTGAAAAAGGAAAGAGAATTGAGGAACATAACACACCTTATTGATGAACAAGGGGAAAGTAAATTTGGACATAAAGAGATGGGAAAGATTATACATGAGTTTTACAGAAAACTTTATAAAAGAGAGACAATAGAGGAGGAGGAAGTGTCCAAGTACTTACAAGATGCAAAGTTACCTCAGATTAGTAAAGATATTGAGGAGATGTTGGAAGGAAACATAACAATGATGGAGTTAATAGAAGCAATTAAGAAACAAAAAAATGGCAAAGCACCAGGGCCTGATGGCCTACCAGCTGAATATTATAAGACATTACAAGAACCTTTGACCATCCCATTACTGGAGGTGATGAATGAAGTGATGATAAAGAAGGAAATACCTAAATCATGGATCGAGGCATATATTACTTTGATTCATAAAGAAGATACAGACCCACAACAAATTAACAAGGACCTATATCCTTGTTAAACTCGGACTACAAAATTTTTGCTTCAATATTGGTGGAGAGACTTAAGAGATACTTAAATAATTTCATACATTCGGATCGAAATGGATTTCTTCCAAAAAGACAAATTAGGGACAACATAAGAATAATCTTGGACACTTTAGAGTATTATGAAGCACACCCTGAAAAGCAGATGGCTTTAGTTTTTCTAGATGCGCAAAAAGCCTTTGACAACGTTAACTGGCAGTTTATGACCCTTCAAATGGAAAGAATGGTCTTTGGGAGGAAATTTGTACAGGCCATTGAAACTATCTACTCTAAACAAATGGATGCGATTGAAATAGAAAAGGGCACGAGTCAAGGATGTCCTTTATCCCCATTGTTGTTTATACTGACATTAGAAGTTTTAAATAGACATGTCAGAGGAGACAAAGAGATAAAGGGCATGAAGATTCGAAAGGAAGAATACAAGCTCCAAGGTTTTGCAGATGATTTGGTTTTTATTATTGAAGAACCATTAACAACAATAAGTAAATTAATAGAAATTATTGGAGATTTTGGAAAAGTAGCTGGTTTGAAAATTAACAAGGATAAAATGAAAGTAATGACTAAAAATATGTTGAAAAAACAGAAAGAAGAGTTGATGGAGATTTCAAAAATGCAGATTACAAACAAAGTGAAATACCTTGGGGATACATTTAACACCAAGATGTAGTGCTTTGAAAGAAAACAATTACAACAAGCTTAAACAACAGATAGGACAAGATTTGTTGAAATGGGGCAATTTACAATTGTCTTTGATTGGTAGGATTTCAACCATTAAGATGAATGTCTTGTCTAGAATCCCATATTTATTTCAGACAATTCCAATCAAGTTGGATAAAGAATTTTTTATAGACTTAGATAAAATGATAACAAGATATATATGGCAAAGGAAAAAGGTGAGAATAAAGTTAAAGTTATTACAAGATGCTAAATCAAGGGGGGGCTTCGGTCTGCCCAATTTTGAATGGTACTATTAAGCTGCAAGTTTAACATGGGTGAAAGAATGGATAACTCTGAGGAATACTAGACTTAAATTTGGAGGGACATGATTTGTTGATGGGTTGGCATGCTTTCTTATGGTACAAAGGAACAAAAATACAAGGGTATTTCAGAAGACATCAAATACGTGAAGCTTTATGGCTGAATTGGGAGGAGGTTAAAAACCTTTATTATTTGAAAATACCTGTTTGGATATCCACAGCAGAGGCTTTTTCTTATCCCATAATATTTAGAAAGGAACAAACTATTAGGTATAGTGAACTATTGGAATGAAAGGGTGAACTCAAATTAAAACAGGAACTAGAGGAACAGGGATTTAAGATGGATTGGTTTTCATATATGCAATATTTTCTAGGTATTGAGTAGATTGTAAGCAAGAAGGGTTTTACAATGCTTTGACTAATTTGGATAAGATTTTAATGGGATCTGATGATCATATTATTAAAAAGCTGTATGGGTTTTTGCTAAAGTTAAAATTGGAAGAAGACCAGGTTAAAGAATCGATGGTAGTATGGAGGAAAAATTTTGGTTATGGGATTGATTTAGAAAAATGGTAATTGACGCACATTAATGACGGTTGCAGTGTCCTGACGTCTTGATACCTTCTGCAACCTTCTGACAAGCAAAGTCAATGGAGAAACCAAATTAGCTCAACAAGCGTGCTACTAATTCAATAACTACAGTGATTCACTTAACGTGGCAAAATGGGGCAAAACTCACTTAACAAATTTCTCACTTAGCAACAGAAATGTTGGGCTCAACTATGGTCATACGTTGAGACTACCTGTATTAGAAAATCAAAGCTTCGTATTTGGAGGCCTGAGGACTGGCCACACCTTACCTTGGTCTGCTTTTTTTCGGTGGCATAGACAATGGAAGTACAGCAAACCTCCGCAATCTTGCGGCCCTGCCCATAGAATGACCAGCAGCAGATCTCATCCCCAAGAACATCTTTGATGAAAAGCACTCGTCCATTGAATCTCAGAGCTAGTTTGTCAAACAGTTCAATATTCTTCAGTAAGTTGTCATCAGAGTTACTTTGGAGGGTAGGGTGGGTGGGGGAAAGAAGAAAACAGTGGTGTAGATACTACTAAAGAAATGGGACCAATGGATGACCTGGGAGATAGCAACAACCTCAAGGTCATCCTATTCTGACAACAGGACCATAGCTTACCTGGTATAGGAATACTTGTTATTACTTCTGTTATGCAGTAACTTCACCACAGGCTAAAAGGAAGGCGAGAGATATGAATAAATTGAAGATCATCACCCCTACTGGGGGATGGAGAAGACTGCATTTACAAGAACTCTAACTTGCCTTGATACCTTGATACATGAGGACATACATCCAAGACACTTAAGTTTGCCTGATCTCTATGATTTCCTGAGGTAAAACTTGTGTGACTTCTCAACCTCCTTACCTTGGAACATCTTGAGATGATCTGCTGCTCTTCCTTGGGAGATGTCACCATGGGGATATGGCAAAGAGGATCATAGGCTTCACTTTTTTGCTAGGAAGGAGAGAAACAAATATTTTTCTAGACTTTCTATTCATTATTTACAGATGTACTAAACAGATTCATACATCATACTAAAACATGATTTGTGAATAAGCCATAATTGAGTGGATCCACAAAAGCTGTTAAGCCATAAACAATGGCTTAGAAAACAATCACTGTGTTTGCACAAGTGGACTCAATTAAAAAAATTGTACCACGGTGCAGAATAATGTGTAAACAAGTTTTTTTCAAACCTGGCAACTTTAAGATGAGTGGGCTTCAACTCCCAAAATTCCCCAGCTAGCATTCAAGCTGGGGATTTCTGGGAGTTGAGATTCACATATCATACAATTGCCAAGTTTGAAAAGAAACTGATGTAAACCAAGTCACTGTATGCTCAAGGAAGATTTAGAACTAAAAGGCAGAGAAGACGTATGTCCAACCTTTTGGCTTGCCCAAGCTGCATTAAGTGAAGAGAAATTGTCTTAGGTCACATATAAAATATATATAACGTAGTTAATGTGTGTGAATGGACATAATCTTAAAAGTTTATGATCATCTTGGGCTGCATTACTAGCTATCCAGGGCTGCATATGGCTTGTGGGCTGGACACACTGGCATAGGGTCTAACAGAAATTTAAAAAGGGAACACTTGAAAATTATATGCTTTTCTAATATAGTTTTTCTTCATAGATACTCAATATAAACATACACAAAAATGGGAGAATATATGTAATATGAATGTAGGTATCTATGTTTTTCATGTAATATCTAGTGAGTTCTTTCTCTCTCTTTTTTTTGGTAATGCAATTTAAATGACCCAGAATTCTATTAAAACAGAATGGAAAAGAATATGGAAAGAAAAAGATGATTAAAGAATCAATTTTTTTACCTTTACATAACTCTTAAATTGTCTCCCTTTACCCTTTTTTCATTTTAACTACAATTCTACGAAATAGGTAAGGCTGAGACAATAGTATTAACTCAAAGTGAACCAGGGTGCTTCCATGACTAAAGGGGGAACCTCTCAGGTAGCACCCTCCTCCCTATAGCAGCCCAGCTTTCGGGCTGAGAGCAGACTGGCTCAAAGTCACCTAGTGAGCTTCTAGGACTGAGGATGGACTAGAAGTTGGGTCTCCAACTCCAATAGCGGAACCATTACATCACCCTCTGTATTGCTGCAAGTGAGACGATAATGGCTGGATGATGTTAGAAGACACTGAGATACTACTGGGGACAGGGCCCAAGTGAAATAATCACCAGGGGAGCACATTCTGGTAAAGCCATTGGTTCCTTCTAGGCAGACAGGACAGATTGTGCTTTCCTCTCTTGTCATCTCTTTTAAGGTCTGTGAGTCTCAAGGAAGTCATTATTTGACCTTCTAATTTCTCAGCCCAGCTACCCTCACCTGTAGTGCAAGTTGGCAGTCCTCAACCAAACCTTGGATCAGATAGTACCGGGCTTCACACAACACTTCCTCTAGCTCCCGCTGTGACTCTGGAAGAGATACTGAACCATCTCGCAAATAATTCAAAATAGTTCCAAAATGGCGGCCGCTTCGGTCAATCAAGATCCAACCTGGAAAAGCAGTTAATTTTAGTCTGTAAAATTAATGGGTTAAAAATGCTGTAGACCAGGATTTCCCAATCTTGGCAACTTTAAGATATATGGACTTCAACTCCCAGAATTCAAAAGCCAACTATGCAGGCCGGGGAATTTTAGGAATTGAAGTCTACAAGTCTTCAAAGTTGTCAAAACCGAAAAACCCTGCTGTAGAATGAAGGATCTACTTAGGTGACCTCCCCATTCTAAAATGGCTTAGAGGGAAAGATACATTATTATTATTATTTGCACTGATACAAGATTGTGTTGATGTTAGAAGAACAAATTCTTCTTTTAATTAATTCTGGGCTTACAATGTACTTCATATCTCAAAAAAGAAAATGTAACAACCCTAGACCTAATTGAATCTTTTTTATGAATCTGCTTTGGATATTATGCCTTGGCAAGTGGCAGCATTTGGTTGATCTTGTCTGGCCTGGCTAATACTTGGATGGGAGGGACATCTCCAGGAAGTATAAAGTGTGGCTGGCTGGGGAATTCTGAGAATCAAAGTCCACACCTCTTAAAAGTTGCTGAGGTTAGAAAAACCTTCTCTGAAGTAAGTCACCCTGAAATTTTCCAAGGGCTCTCTGGGAACCACCTTGGATGAACCCCCAACGCAATCTCCCATCGTGCAAAAAATCCCATTTCTAGCTATGGGAGAGATGGGGCAAGCTGAGACTCATACCTTCACTATCTGTGAGGACTTCCATTCGGCCACTGAACATGGCCTTGAGCATGGTATCTTGCTTGGTCAGGGTCTGCACGGTGGTGTAATGCAGAGATCCTCCCACATTGAGCTTGACGTACTTGCTGCTGGGATTCAGGGGCTTGAGATCCAAAGTCACCTCGGTTACCCCACCCCTGCCATCCCGTCGGTGCTGGGTTAGGACCAATGGAGCACAATTCTCCAGGGATGGGGATGAATCTGTTGTGGCCTCAGCTGACATAGCCACCTACAGAAAAGAGAAACTGAGTGAGGAGACCTACCAACAGCAGATTTCCTGCACGGAGCATTAGCTGAAGCATTTGGGAATCCTTTTTTGACTTTCTCTAAAAGGCAGTCCATTTTTGTTTGTTTTTAAAAAGAAACAAGATGCAGGCTTGGAAATTCTCCCAGCAAATTTATTTCCAGTGTTATTTGGCCAAATGTCTCCCTGCAGCTCTGCCATTTATTATCACCTCCCCCCCCCCTTTGTATGTACCCTCTGCAAGAAAAACTGGATTCATTCCATAATGCAGCTAGCAGCAATGGAGACCATTCAAGCTTATGGGATCTGCTTTATAGGTTACTAACTGGAGCCAAATAGGAAGTAATCCCTTTCACTAAGAGCTCACAAAGGAGAATGATTGGGGTGACTATCACACTGCTAAGCCATATAGTGACTTGCTTGTTTGACGTTGGGTAAAATCAACTCAAGGCAAAGGCACTCAAGGCACTAACTAGACATACGCTCAAACCAGGAACTAGTCAGGGCCGGATTTTCCTATAGGCTAACTAGGCTTCAGCCTAGGGCCTCAAGATCAAGAGGGGCCTACATTCAAATTGTTAGCAAAATTAAAATTACACTTTCACTATAGGTGAAAGGGCCTCATAAGTGGAATAGCCTAGGGCCTCTTTTCATCTAAATCCGGCCCTGGAACTAGTGATCAGTATCACAATCCACCCCATAAATCTTTTCACACAAAAATCCCCTTCTTGCTCTCCCCCCCCCCCAGAATTTAACTGAAAGGAACTGCCTTTAGGTTTCAAGAGTGATTGAGCCACCTTCCCACCCAAGCAGTTGCCTCCAAGAGATGCTGGCACTGAATGGCCGCGATCTACTCAGCTATACTGATTGTCAAACATCACAGGAGTTGGTCCAGTAAATTCACAGAGCACCAATCGGGGAGGGGGGGAGTATTAAGATATTAGAAGATGGGGTCCACCCAGAGATCTAGCACATCCCAACCTACCTTCTGCTTCTGTGTGAGACTCCACACACCTGGAACTGCTAATAGGAAACAATGGGTTTGCCTTCAACTTTGTGCTAACTGGTCTTTGCCCCAACATCCCTGCCCAGCGGGATCATTTCCTTGTACTGTCTGGCTCCACCCTGCTGCCCTTGTGCCCAACCCTTGTGCTGCCCAGAAGTTACTGTATTCATTTTCCTGCCTGCCCACCACCAGGCTGTCTTTATTCACTCTTGCATTATTTATTATTACTACTATTGATTTTCTTGACTGGGATCTTACGGTGTTCCTGCATGTGAGAAAAGCAGAATGTCAATACATATTGGAAGTGACAGCTTCGGCTATGGACAAGTCCATTTTCCAAGTCTAAAACCTATTTAAATTCTCCAAGTGCCAGGATCTCCCTTTCGCCAACCTTTTTCCTTGCATTGGCTCCACCACAATGGAGCCAATTGCTTCTCCTATGGGGGCTTCCTTTCCACTCAGGGAGAGAAATCTTGGGTGCAATTCCCGGGCCAGCAAATGATTGAGGTTCTTTATGCTGCTTTGCTGCCATCTTGTGGTAGTTCTGGTTTCTGCAGCCCAGATACGGCATCCTTTTCCTGCCGCACTCCGACCTCGCCCACCCCACCACCTGATCCACTCACCTCCCCCACGGGAGCAGGGTGGGCTCAAGCCAGGCCCCTCCCCTTTAGCCCCGCCTGGACTCCGGGGCAGCAGCTCCGCAGGATGCCTCGACCCAAGCGAAAGATGAACGGAGGGCGACAGTGCGCATGCTCCCAAACGCCCCGTCGCGCGCCCCCCCTCCCCCATGGAACAGTTACTCTGTACATCCGGGTACCCGCTTGCTTAAAACGAGATAGAGGCTGGTTGACTTTCTTTACTCCACCCTCCCACGGGTGGCAGTAAAGCTGCGCCTGCGCAGAAAGTGAAATCGCGTCCGCAGTGAAGGGTCAAAGGAGTGATGGAAGACGTAAGTCAATCGAGGTTGCTGGAGGACGCATGCGCAGGAGCTGAGCCGCACGTCGTGGTAGCGCGATCGGCTGGGGGAGGGGGAGAGCCGTGCCCCTCCTCTGCGCATCTGGGCGGTGCCACTCTTGTCTCTCATTAGGCAACGGGGGTGGGGCAGTCTGACTCTGACCCTGGACTGATTTTTATAGGTTGGTTGAAGCTAAAAGTCAACATTTGAGTAATTGTACTTGCACATAATTTTTGATTTCTCCTGCTGGTAAATTATGGCTGGGGCCACGCAGAACGAATTTAATTCAGTGACACCCCCCAACAGATTTAATCTGTGGAGGTCATTGCATTTTGGGATGCCTACACACGATCTATGCTATAGAAGCTTTTGTGTGAGCCAGATCATAGAAGCTTTGAAGTACAATATGTTGCATGAATTCAATAGTTAATAAAGATTTAACATGTTATGTGAAGCCACTTATTTAGGCTGAGGGCAAGAGAATATTCTTGGAAACCGTTCCCAGATCTCCTTTGTTATTTTGTGCTCCATAAAAAAAATATTGCAGCATTAAAGATGAATATTACTTCTGATTAGCGGTCCACTACATGTGTGAACTATATTTGTGTGTTCTTTTTAAGGTGCCACAAGACTCGTGATTGTAAAACATGGCACAGGTAGCCCTTGACATATGACCACAATTGAGAAGTTTCTATTGTTAATCCCAAAGGTACTTTTTCAGGAGGCAACTGGACTGGTTTTTTTTTTGAAGACATTTTGCTTCTCATCCAAGAAGCTTCATCAGCTCTGACAGGATACTGGGGAATGGAAGGATTTATATTCCTTGCGGACAGCTGGTCTTTTGCATCCTGTTAGAGGGCCATTGAAGCACTTGGAGGTTTATCTGTGTCTTCAGGGTCACCTGAGTGGTGCTCCTGATTCCTATAGTCTGCAATTTCCCCCCCTTTGGAAATCCATTCCTACTTCCACAGCATTCAACGTCTTCAAAAGAAAAAACAAAAAAGTCCAGTTACCTCCTGAAAAAGCACCTTTGGGACAACTGTGATTGAGAATCTATCTCTACAGACTTTTAACTATACAATTTGGGATAAACATCCTTTGAATGGGCTTGATTGGTAGAAAGAAACGGAGAGAACCTGGTTGGAAAATATCACTTTAAAGAAACTGATGACCAGATGGAAAGCAATGGCTGGGACAAGTCCAGTACCAAATTGATGGCTACAAAGACTCATGTCACACAGACACCAAATTTCAAGTCTAGAGCATCTCACTGGATCACTTTATATCAAGAGCAATAGCATTCCCTTCTATTTCCCTTTGGACATTACCATATTTGGAGCAGAAGCTACTATGATTCAAATCTCAGAAATATGTATCCCTACCTATTTCATTACAATCTTGCCAACTGTGTTTTGCTGAGCTTGGAAGGGTGGCTGGTAGAAATCCAGTAATCAAAAATCAGAAGTGTTCAATCCATTGAGACCGCTTGGTATTCCTTTGCTTTAGCACAGGGTTGTCAAACTCACGACGTCATCACGTGATGTATCACAACTTTCCCCACTTTGCTAAACCGGGAGTGGGCGTGGCCAGTGCGTGACACATCTGGCCCGCGGGCCATGAGTTTGACACCCCTGCTTTAGCAGGTCAGTAAATGCTACATGTGCATTTTAAGAAGCTTAAGTATTTCAGGTGAGAATACAGTTGTTTAGTGTGTTCCCATATATTACCCATACCTTTGCCAAGATTCTTTCAAATTAGATTAATAAAACCTCACTCGATTTTTCTTGACTGCGTGCTCTGCAAAGATTTTAAAGAGGAAGCATCATTTGAATCAAAAATTTACTGGTATATACAATTGGCTTCAGGTTCAGTTGCCTTTGAAAAAAACACCTTTGGGACAATCATGACCTGGATGACTGAGAATCTTGATAGATATTTGGCTTCATGGGAGTTATTAGTCAAACAGTTTAAAAAAAAATTTGTACTAATTTCTGTGAATCCAAAACACAACACCTAAAGCAGAACAGCAACTCTAATTCTGGAATAAAGCTAGGGAATCCAGGAGCACCGGTTATCCTTGACCATTAGCAATGAGGGGACATATTCCAAACTTTTATCATCTACAAAAGCTGGTTAACTGGGCCAATGTTTTTTAAAATACAAAATAATCATTGTAGGTTGGCTACATCCAAATTTTAATGTAGGATGGAAAATGTATACAAACCTTTGGAATAACATTCCAAATAACTAGCTTAAGTTCAGAATTTTTCACCAAGGAGACTGAAAAAAGGAAATGGTCTGAGACAGCATTGTCCAAAATTTAAAAATTTAATCATTTCCCCTTGTTTTTCCACTGAAAATATTACCAACTTCTTTATGAAGAATGTTGATGATAGTTGTGAATGCTGGATTGTTTACAGTGAAAGGCCAAGGATGAGCAATGTAATTATTAAAAATATTGTTCTGAGATTTAAACATCTAATATAGCTAAATACCTGTATTAGTTAAATAAAAATGAACAGATGATCAATATTAATAATAATAAAAAAGGCTGGGATCGGGGATGCTGTTTCACAGTGCCATTCCAGTTACTGAAGATTTCTGAAATTTGAAGATATTTGCCTAGATAATTAGAAAAGAGCAATGTTAAGCCATTATTCATCACAGATAAAGAATATAGCTACTTTCTGAACTGTTCCATCATTAGGCTGATTATCTCTATGACTGAAACTTCCTTTAGCAATCCAAAAGGATTTGTGCTTGAAATAAAATAAACTAAATAATGAATAAAACTTTACTTTGGGTTTTGCTCAGGGGTGAAATCCTATCAATTCGGACCAACTGGTAGTGATGATTGGCACTGGTTCGCCGAACCGGTAGCAATCATTCCTGGTGGCCCCACCCAGTCACCCACTCAACAGGCACACCAGGGCCACCTTGCCTGCTGCCTTCATGGGCTATGCTTGGAAGGGGCCGCCACTGCTCTCCCCGCCCTCTCTCCCCACCTGGCTGCAGATGTCCGCCTGCCCTCCTGGAACACCGCCGTTGTTCGCTTTCTTCCTTCTCCCGCCGCGAAACGAAAGCAAACAGCGGTGGGGCTGCTTCGGGAGGGCAGGTGGACGTATTCATTATAGTTGTCAGCTGCAGACGTCCGCCTGCCCTCCTGATGCACCACCACGGGGAACAAAACCACCCCATTGTGGCATGCCTCCTCCTGCAGCCAAATGCGCCTAGCCTTGCGTGCCCTTTCCTCAAATGGGCTGTGCACGGGGCACTTGGAGAGAGAGAGAGAGAGAGCAAGAGAGTTCTCCAATATCTGTTTGTGTGTTTGTGTGAGAGGGAGGGAGCAATCTGAAGCCGACGCACCCAAACATCTGGCAGCGGTGGAGGCGGCTTCTGAGCAGCCCTGAGTCAGCCAGCTCCACCTGACCTACTCCCTGAGTCTCGCTGTTCTCCTCGCCCACCCCCCCTCAAGCAGCGACAGGCTCTGCAGGAAAACAGGGCCTCTCATTTTTCCCACAGCGCAGCATACGCTTGCTACTTTTGCTTGCAAGGAGCAATCTTCTCTGCTTCTCTCGGGATACTGGTGTGGGCACCATGCAACGCTTGTCGGGGCTGAGCAGGGAAGCCACTGTCACGCCACTTCTCCTCGCATCCCCGAGCGCAGAGCCGAGGCCGTGCACTTCCTCTCTGGGCTGGCCACTGGCAAAGAGCCACACGGCCAACAGCCACTCAATACCCTGCGTGCAGCATCATGATGGAGCAGCTAGCCCAGCTTGGGCTGGCTGGTTGGAGCAGCGGTGCAGCTGAGACCCCCGCACCAACATTCACCGGCAAGTACAACTTTAGTCCAGTGATGAAATCTGAACCGGTTTAATACCGGTTCGCTGGCTGCGCATGCGCACCAAATGTGAGGTGCTGGGACTTCCAGTGGCACCGCAGGCGCTGACAGACGCTCCTTTTAGACCGTCAGCCCCGCGATTTCGTTAAAACCGCCAAGATAGCGCAAATCAGCTGATAGTTAACATTGTTAGCGCTTCTAAGGCTTCTAAAGCTGTTTAGGATTATTGGACTCTACACCAAAGAAAGAAAGATTTAAAGTGGAAAGACTACAGTTTGGACTTTAAATAAACTATAATACTTACTAAAGATTTAAAAACATTTGGACTTATAGATTTGGTTGCTGTAGGAAGTATAAATTGAAAGCTAAAAATGGCTTCTAAGCAAATAAAATCTGGCTTTAAAAGTGTTGGAGGATCGCCAGCACAACCATCAAAATTACAATCTTTGTCTACTTCAAACCCACAAATATTGACTTTGGAAGTTCTACAGGAATCTTTGCAGGACACTTTGAAGCAACAAACTTCCTTTTTAGAAGGGAAAATTAAGGGAGTGTCTGAAGAAATGGCTGAAATTAAAGAAGTTATACAAACTCGCAATAAAGAAATAAGAGAAGACATAGTAATGGCATTTCAGGGTCTGGCAAAACACATTGAATTGTTGGATGAAAGAGTAGAAGAAATTAATCAGTCCAATTTGAATTTGGAAAATAAAATGGATGAAGTTCAGACCAAGGTGGATAGGGCAGACGATGAAGTGGTGATGTTACAGTATAGAGCAATGGAATTTGCCCTGAGAGTAAGAGGTTTAAGAGAACACAATCGAGAGAACTTGAGAGAGATCTTTGCAGGGGCTTTTGCAAAGATAACGGGAGCAACAAGCAGATCTCTCATTGCAAATTGACAAAATATATTGTGTTAATTCCTGGTTTGCCAGACAGAATCAATTGCCAAGAGACATTGTGATTTACTTTACAACGATGAAATTTTACAAGCTTTCTATAAAAATAAACTTCAAATTGAAGGACAAGAGGTTTTAGTGCTGAAACAAATTCCCCCAAAAATGTTGAGAAGCAGAAAGGAGTTTGCTTTCTTGGTGGATGAATTTAGAAATTGACAGATTCAGTTTAGATGGGATGTTCCAACTGGACTGGTGGTGAATTATATGGGAGAAAGGTATCGCCTTAACACAATTTGGAAGGCAAGAGATTTTTATACTAATGTATTAAAGGCTGGATGCCCACCATCTCAGGAAATGAGGAGAAGAAAAGAAGAGCTAGCAATACAGGGACAGAAGGAAAGTAAACAGCCACAAGCTGCAGGAGAGACCTCGCTTATTGAAGAAGATTTATTGCAATTTTTTGGTACTGATCAACCTTGTAGCGGAAAAAAGAGAAGAACCACAAGAACAAAGGCAGACCCGTGCAGCAGCAAAGCGAAAAGAACAAGATTTAAAGATACAGCAAACTCAAATGAAAGCGCAAGAAGCTACAAAAACAGAAGCAGTGGGGGGCGGGGGGGGGCAGGCAAGGCCAAAGAGAAAGGTGCAGGAGGATCTTCAGCTGCCCCCCCCCCCCCTTTTTAAATTTGATTTATATGCCGCCCTTCTCCGGAGACTCAGGGCGGTTACAATGCGTTAAGCAATAGCCTTCATACTTTTGTATATTTATACAAAGTCAACTTATTGCCCCCACAAAATGGGTCCTCAATTTACCCACCTTAGAAAGGATGGAAGGCTGAGTCAACCTTGAGCCTTGGAGAGATTCGAACCAGCAGTAATTGCAGGCAGCTGGGTTAATAACAGGGTGCTTTAGACCACTGTACTACCAAGGCTCTATTAAAGCTTCTTTTAAAGCTTCAAGGTGCCAAGAATGGCAACTAAATTTCTGACTTGGAACGTCAATGTTTTAAATTCACCACAAGAGAAAGAAAATATTTCATTATCTGAAACAGTTTAAAAATGATATAATTTGTCTGCAAGAAACACATATTAGAGTGACAGATCAAAAATATTTGATAAATTCAAGGTTGGGAACACACTTTGTTGCATCTACCCCAGAGAAGAAAAATGGTATAGTTATATACCTAAGGACAGATTTAACAGCTAAATTAATTGAGGCAGATGCTCAAGGAAGATATATTGCAATTGAACTTTTAATAGAGGGGAAGAAAACACTTTTAATTGGAGTATATGCTCCCAATCAACAGCAAGAAAAATTCTATAAGTTTTTGCATACCAAAATAATACAATGGGATTATAAATCGTGTATATTAATGGGTGATTGGAATGGAGTACTGGACACAAAAAAGGATTACTTCAAAATATCCAAAAACGTGCAAGACTGCCCAAATCTTTTTTTGACATGATGGATGATATGGAGTTGAGAGATATTTGGCAAGAACGAAACCCAGAAGAAAAGGATTTTACTTTTTTTTCTGACAGACATCAATCCCTTTCCAGGATTGATTTCATATCGATTACTAATGATTTCTTTTCTAGGGTAAAGAAGACGAAGATATGCCCAAGAATTTTATCTGATCATAGTCCTGTGTGGATGGAATTAGAGCAGGAAAAGGGACCTAGAAGGTCTTGGAGGTTAAATGAAAATTTGTTTAGATATGAGGAAAATGTGAAAGATTGTAAAAAACAAATGAATTTGTTATGAATATGAACAAAGGTACACCTATGGAAATGGTCTGGGATGCAAGTAAAGCATATATGAGAGGAACCTTAATACATTTGAATAATAAATATAGACATAGACAAGAAAAAAAACAGGAATTTAGAAGAGGAAATAAAAATGAAAGAGCAGGCACTCATACTGAATCCAACAGATAAGAAAATAAAGGAAACAATAAATTTGTTAGGAGGGCAGTTTAATATGTTGATGGCAGACCAAGTGGCAACTAATTTACAATATGCTAAACATAATACTTTTTGTAATGCAAGTAAACCAGGTAGATGGTTAGCTTACTTGTTAAGGAAGAAACAAAAGTTACGTACTACAGAGAAAATAGAATTCAAAGGTAAAGAGGTATATCAACAGAATATGATTAAAAAAGCTTTTTTAGAATTTTATACAAAGTTATATGCTAGTGATACAATTCAAGGTAAAGACATAGACAGATATTTACAGGAGAATATTCCTGTAATTACATCAGAGCAGAGGGAAGGATTGAACCGATCAATAACTTCGGAGGAAATTATTTTAGCAATTAAACAGTTGAAGGGGGGTAAAGCTCCAGGCACAGATGGATTGACAGCTGTTTATTATAAAAATTTGCAGTTCGAAATGGTAGAACCACTTAAGGAACTATTTCAGAAGGTCCAAGCCAGAGGAGATGTACCCCCTTCTTGGAGAACAGCTTTTATTTCATTGATTCCAAAGGAGGACCAAGATCATAGTCAACCTAAGAATTATAGGCCAATATCGCTGTCAAGTTTCAAGGTCGCTTTTAAATACTGATTATAAGATTTTTGCTAAAGTACTAGCAAATAGGTTAATGGTAATTGTGCAACAAATGATTCATAATGACCAATCTGGTTTTATAAGTGGGAGACAAATGAAAGGTAATGTAAGACAAATTGTAAACTTATTGGAATATATGGAAAGGAACAACCAAGTCCCTGCAGTGCTTATCTTTTTGGATGCGGAGAAGGCATTTGATCGATTGAATTGGCAATTTTTATTGAAAATAATAGAAAAGATGCAGGTTGGAGAATACTTTACACAATCTATTAGGGCAATATATCAGAGACAAACAGCACAAATAATAATTAATGGTGGTTTAACAGAAACTTTTAAAATTGAAAAAGGAACAAGACAGGGATGCCCTTTATCATCATTGTTTATTTTAACTTTGGAACCATTACTGAATAAAATACGAGGGTCAAATAAAATAAAGGGAATTAAAATTAGACATCATGATTATAGATTAAGAGCATTTGCGGATGACTTGGTTGTTACTTTAACCCAACCAGTACAATCAGTTACAGGCTTACTGGATATAATTACCCAATACGGCCAAATGTCTGGATTTAAAATAAATAAATAAAAAACAAAGATAATAGCTAAAAATATGACGGTAAAGCAAAAAGAAGAACTAGAAAGACTAACAGGATTTGACATAGTAAAAAAGGTTAAATATTTAGGAGTATAACAGCCTCAAATGTAAAATTATATAAAAATAATTATGAATTGCTATGGCAAAAAATACAGAAAGAGATGGAGAATTGGGGAAAATTACAATTATCTTTGTTGGGAAGAATAGCAGCAATAAAAATGAATGTTTTACCTAGGTTTTTATTTTTGTTTCAAATGATACCAATACTTAAGAAAGATGTAAATTTGAGGGAATGGCAGAAGGGTATTAATAAATTTGTTTGGGCAGGGAAAAGACCGAGAATAAAGTTAAAAATAATACAAGATATATGTGAAAGAGGTCTTAAAATGCCTAATTTAAAATTATACTATGAAGCAGCTGTCCTAACAATAATTAATGACTGGATTAATTCAACAGAAGAAAGAATATTGAACATTGAAGGATATGATTTGTTATATGGATGGCATGCTTACTTATTATATGACAAAAAGGTGGATAAGACCTTTAAAAGCCATATACTAAGGAATGCCTTGTTACGAGTTTGGAAGAAGTACCAATATAAGTTAAATTATAAGATACCTATATGGGCAATTCCCAGACATGCGATAGAGAATATAAGTGTAGAACAAAAGCAAGAGGTGATTACCTATAAAGAGCTTCTTAAAATGGAAGGGAGTATATTGCAGTTAAAATCTATAAAGGCATTAAAAGAAGAAAAAAATAATTCAAACTTGGTTTAAGTATGGACAGTTGCAAGCTAGATGGAAAGAAGACCAGAGAATTGGTATCATGCAGAAGGAGGAAAATTTGGTAAAACAAAGGTCAAATGCATATAAAAAGATTATATAATATACTGATAGAAATAGACTCAGAAACGGAATTAGTTAAGGATTGCATGATCAAATGGGCACAAAACATTCAGGAACCAATAACGATGGAAACTTGGGAAAAAATATGGGTTAGAAATGTAAAATTTACGCAAGCACAAAATTTAAGAGAAAATTTTTATAAAATGTTTTACAGATGGCATTTGGATCCTAAAAAGTTGGCTTGTATGTATCCGAACTTGCAATCTAAGTGTTGGAGATATGATTGTGACAATGCTACTTATTATCATATATGGTGGACTTGTAAAAAAGTTAAAGCATTTTGGATTAAAATGTGGTGGATTATCCAAAATATTCTTAAAAAGAAGATAAAGTTTACTCCACAATTGTTTTTGTTGGGCATAATCACAGATTGTACGTTTATAGGGACTAAATTGATTTTAAATTTAATAACTGCAGCTAGACTTTTGGTGGCGCAGTACTGGAAGAAGGAAGAATTGCCTACTATTGAAGAATGGACATTAAAAGTGGCAATTTGGCAGAAATGGCAAAAATTTCAGCATACTTGAAAGATCATTCACAAGAAAGATATATATCGGAATGGAGACGATGGATTGATTACATTCAAAACAAATATCGAACTAAAAAGTATTAAATAGCTTATGAATGAATAGAAAAGTTAAGAGTATGTATATTTAGTTAAGTAAAAGGCGAGTTAAAGTGTTGAGGGGGGATAGGAATCTGTAGTTAGTTAGCTTAGCTTAGCATATGATTGTTAATTGTTTTACCCTGTATTTTGTTCTGGGAAGTCTGGGGTGGGTGGGGGGGAGAAGGAAGGGAGGGGGGAGAAGGGGAAATATTTGAAAAAAAATTTTTTTTTCTTTTTTGTAAAACTTTTCAATAAAAAAAAAAAGTGAGGTGCCGGCGTGCGCAGTGCACACCAAAAGGAGGCTTGGGAAGGTAAGTAGAACAGCGCGCACGGGGAGGGGTGTGATCAGCTGTGGCACACGATCGTCAGAGCCTTTATTTTAAAAGCATTTTTTAACAACTTATTCGGGCAAATAGGTTGTAAAAAAATTCTTTTAAAAGGTATAAAAAAAGGCTCTGACGATCGCAAGGCACAACTGTGATTGTCAGAGCCTTTTTTACCTTTTAAAAGCAGGAAGTAATGACACCCAGGTGGGTGGGCGGAGCCTCGTGCCGCCATCGCTACCAGTTCTCCAAACCACCTGCCATAATTACTACCAGATCACCTGATCCAATTCGAACCGGGAGCATTTCACCCCTGCTTTAGTTGGGCTATTCAAGCCGCCACTGCAGGGCCAGCCACCTGGCGCGAAACCTGTTTTTCTCAGCCTCGGCTGCAGCACTGATCCAACCAACCAGCCAGCCCAAGCCTAAGATGGGCTGGCTGTCCGTCCCCACTGGCGGCTAGGCGATGCTGTGTGTGGAGCATTGAGCGACTGTCAGCTGCGTGGCTCTTTGCCACTGGCCAGCCTGGAGATGAAGTGCACTGCCTTGGATCTGCAAGGGGGAGTGGTGTGACAGCGGCTTCCCTGCTCAGCCCTGACAAGTGATACATGGTGTCTGGACAAGTGTCCCGAGAGAAACAGAGAAGATCACTGCTTGCAAGCAGACAGGCAGAGATAGCAAGTGTGTGCCGCGCTGTGGGAAAAATGAGAGGCCCTGTTGTCCCTCAGAGCCTGCCGCTGCTGGGGGCGGGGAGCGAGGAGAACGGCGAGACTTAGGGAGCAGGTCAGGTGGAGTTGGCTGACTCAGGGCTACTCAGAAGCTGCCTCTGGCGTTGCCAGAGGTTTGGGTGCCTAGGCTTCAGATTGCTCCCTCCCTCCCTCCCACACACAAAAACAGAGGTTGGAGACCTCTCTTGCTCTCTCTCTCCCCAAGCGCCCCATGCACAGTCCATTTGAGGAAAGGGCACGGACGGCTGGGCACGTTTGGCTGCAGGAGGAGGCCTGGGTAGAAGGCAGCCTTATCTGCAGCATCCCCCTCCCCCCCTTCAATCGGCCTGCAAGGGGGGCACTCTGCCTTTGCAGAAACGGGGCGGGCAGTTTGTACGGAGGATTGGCGGGGGGAATGTGCGGCCCTCCGGGATGGAGAGCGGGGCAAGAGAAGGGTCCGAGGTTCACTTAGGCAGTCAAGCCAGATGGCAGAGGGAAACTCAAAGTGTTGGGGGCTTCAGAAGGGCAGAACGTGCTTCAGAATGTACTTAACAGTGAGTGATGTCAAGTTGTCCATGCCCACTGGTCACATGACCACCAAGCCATGCCCACAGAACCAGTAGCAAAAGTTTTTAGATTTCACCACTGGTTTTGCTGATTAGACAAATTTGTTGTTATAGAAATGGCTATTAATTATGCAAAAGTAAATATTGAGACTGTAATGTTATTATTCTATTGCACTGAAAAGAGTCAGAAGCTAATGCTTTTTTCTCCTTTATCCTACATTTCTCTCTCCCCCACTTCTCCATTGTTTTCATTTTCATTTGTATATTATATTTTGATGTATGTGTGTAAAGTAAGGACAGATTAAAAAACACCCATTATCCCTTTACCTATTAGAAACAAGCTAGTTTTGTTTCCGATGGAAGTTTTCCAACTGTAGTTTGGATCCAGATGCTTCCAATTTGAGAATAAATCCACCAATTACAGTGGATCAAATTAGTGACAACTAACAGGTTTAATTAATTTCTGCTCTAAGCATGACCAATTCTAGGTACACAATCTCTCTTTTTGTGCCCTGTTCCTTTTTATTTTGTTTTTATCCCTTATTCCCTTTTTCATGTGAGTTAAAGCTGCTACTTGAATACATGAAAATTCTAAATTTACAGATTTCTGGTTTGCTAAGATGAGCAACAAAGAGGAATTAAATGTCTTCTGTAACTCAGCACATAATGGTTTTAAAATCCATCAAATGCTAAACTGGGAATTGTGCCTTATTAGAAATTGCAAGTTCACCCATTGTAGAATCAAGCCATTAACGCAGCACTCAGAAACTATGTCTTAATTAAAAATATGTTTAATTATTAAGCTAGTCACTACTATATGTGGCAAGGAATTCTATCTAGGAAGTGGAGTAGGAATAAATCACTTAGTCTCACCTCTACTGCTGCTAAGCGAGACAAACTTTATAGTAGAAAGGAAATACAGGGCAGTCTTTCCAAAACAATTAGCCTTCAAAGTGCTAGATCACTTCTCATTAAAAAGTAAAATTATTATTTTTGTTAGCAAATTATGAAATTAGCATTTTTTCTGGCTTTGCGTAAGAAACTATATACTTCTCTGTAGTTATTTGTTATCACTGTTTACCCTTATTTTTGTTTGTGCTAAGACTTTAATGTTTAACTCATAAATTAGATGCTGGAAAAGTATTGGGATTCTATAGCTGAACAGAATATTCATGTTATATCCTATTTTTTAGGAGGGGGGGATGACAGACGATTACATAAAGGTGAATTTCCAGATGTTGAATGACAACTTCCATCACTCCCTGCCATCAACCACACTACCAGTTGGAATTCTGATCCAATTACATTACATAATGTAATTTTGTAAGTTTAGATAAAACTTTTGTAAGTTTAGATAAAAACTTTCTCTGTACCAAGTAGAAACTTGACTAAATGCATACCTTAATAAAAGCGTCTGCTTGCTTGGCTGTAATACCATGTATTTTCTGAAGATCCTGTACCTATAAAAAGAAAACAAATTGATACAATAAAGTATAGCCCATCATTTAGACTGGGCAAAAAATATTAACTATGATCCTCAGAACTCTCCCTAATACAGATAGTCCTCAACTTATGACCTCAACTGAGCCCAAAATTTCCATCGCCAAGGGAGGCTACTATTAAATGAGTTTTGCTTCATTTTACAACTCATTTTGCCAGAGTTGTTAAGGAAATCACTGCAGTTTTGTTGTGAGTATCATGAAGTTGTTAAGTGAATCCGGCTTCCTCCATTGACTTGGCTTGTTGGAAGCCAGTTGGGAAGTTTACAAATGGTGATAACACGACCCTGCAATTATCAATACATGTCAGTTGCCAAGCACCTGAATTTTGATCACATGACCATAAGGATGCTGTAACTGTTGCAAGTGTGAAAACCTGTGATAAGTCATTTTTTAAAATGCCATTACAACTTCGAACAGTCACCAAAATAATCAAGTTGTGGTAGAATATTGTCCTTGCTTGTTGCAGTATAAGATCAATAAAAGGATACAAATTACCGTATTTCTCACTCCATAAAATGCACTTTTTTTGTCTCCCAAAAGTGGGTGGAAATGTCTGGGCGTCTTATGGAGCGAATATTGCTGAAGCCCCGCCTACCCGCCACCCTTCAGCCCTTTTCGGCCTCTGCGTGTCCCATTTTTGTCCTCCGAAAACGGGACACGCGGTGGCCGAAAATGGGAGTGCGTCTTATGGTTAGGTGAATCTTATAGTGCGAAAAATATGGTATACTAGAGGTTAATACCTATCACCTATCTTCAGTGCAATATTTCCATGCCCTTCGTGGTCTTCAAAGGCGAAGAGGGAGAAGGAATTGGGGAGGATTACAAAATACCCAGATTTGTAAAGTAAGATTGCAAACATTTTAAACCAACAGTACTGTTATTATTGGGGCATAAAGTACAATACCATGAGGATTTTGAATCTGGATTGTCTAAATTTTGAACAATTTATTGCAGCTAACTACAAATAATAGCCCTGTTGGGCATCCCATATTTAAGCAGATGTCACCTTTATGAGTTCCATGCCCCAAACAAAACTGGCAAACAATGGCTGCAATACACGATTAATGGAATTGGATTGTTATTATTTTTAAAAAGCGTGGAGCTCAGATGATAAAAAGTTGCTTGTCTCGGGTGAGAAATTAGGGAATCAGCAATATATCTGAAATAAATTCTGCCTTCTGTGACCACCAACCTTCTGAAAAGATCCATAATTTTCTCTCCAGCTCACAATGAGCTCTGCTTTCTTCTTGCCAATGAGGTGTAGACCCATAAGATCCTTCACGGAACCCGAGTTCATGAGGGACAGGATTTTAGCCTTGCTATGAGCCAGCTGATCTGGATGGATCTCCACTTCCCACTCAGAGGGAGCCTTGTTTTCAGAGTCGAAGTCTTGAATCTGAAGAACAAACACGGAAAGAAAGTGACCAATGCGGCTGCCTTTTAAAACTAACCCCCACCTCCTATTAATATCGACAAGAATCATGGCAAAGAAATAATTGTCTAAGCTATGAGATCTGCTCAGAGCTTTCTCCCAAAGGATCGATTATCCACTGGTCCCATCAATTTGCCTACATCAGAATACACTATGGAATCAAACGCAGGACCTCAAAATCGAGAATCCTAATGAAATAATTGTTGATTCAGTCTGTGCTGGAGTAATTCCCTCCAGAAAATAATGGGAAATTTTGGGAAACACCTGACAAAAGGACTCCCATAGACAAAAGGATGCATTTATACATTTCAGGAAAGGAGAAAAGATAGTCAAGGTGTATAGGTAAATTATGCTTACCTATTACCTATGCAGGGTAATAGATGATGTAAGCCTAAATATTCATAATTGGCAAACCTCAATTTACCTCCTACCCATCCACTGTTAACTATCCTCAAGAATTATTAACTTAATAAAAAGAAACATATCAGTTACATTCATGAAGCAGTTGTGATAAAGCATACTGCAAAAAAGATTTCAAGTTTTCCCCAACTAGGACACATTCAAAGTTTCTATCTTGCTAACATGCTCCTACTCCTCCCAAACTGTCCTTTCCTCATAACTGTTAGGTATCTGTTGACCGTCAATGGTTGGAGTTACTGACCAACCCTTAATTCTTCTGCCTGGTGGTACAATGTACACATTGAAGCTATGACAAGCCCCAGAAGCACTACCAAGTTTGAGAAATCTGTAGACTAAGCTGTTTCTCAGGGCTGCTTGCCCATTGCCCTAATCATCTTTGTTGCTCTTCTCTGCACTCCTTCTAGAGTCCTCACATCTTTTTTACATTGTGGGGTCAAAAACTGGGTGCAGTATTCCAAGTATGAGCTTACCAAGGCATTAAAAAGTGGTATTAACACTTCCTGTTATCTTGATTCTATCCCTCTGTTAATGCAGCCTAGAAGTGTATTGGATATTTTTGGCAGCTGCAGCACTACCAGCTCATATTTAAGTGATTGTCCACTAGGACTTCAAGATTCCTCCCACAGTTACTACTATTGAGCCAGGGACCACCTATACTATACCTGTACATATGTTTTATCTTGCCTAAATGTAGAACCTTATTTTTTTTCACCATTGAATTTCATTTTGTTAGATAGTGCCCAATGCTGAAGTCTGTCAAGATCCTTCTGTATCTTAAGTCTTTCTTCTGGAGTGTTGGCTATTCCTGCCAGCTTGGTGTCACCTGCAAATTTGATGAGTTCTTCATCTATGGAGAACGTTGGCTTCCAATTCACAGGTTGAAATGGCTCCTTCCCAGGAGATACCTCTGTTCTGGTATGTTTATAAGTTATCTTAAAAAGTGTGATACATATAGTCAATTGGCTGGAGAAAAATTCTGCTACTCTTCCTGTTCTTCACCAAAATGAAGCCAAAACCTATTTACCCACCTTTTTCTTTCGGCCTCTGGTCTTCTGTTTCTTAATAACACTCTCCTCTTCTTCCTGACTCTTGACAGGTGTCTGCACTGGAGAGGAAAAGAAAGCAAATTGGGACTTTGCAACACAGGAGAAAAAGGAAGGCCTGACTTCAAAAAACTTCCCAACCTTCTCACCTTGTTGGAGGGGCAATACTGTGGCCTGTTTTCGGGGTTTTGCAGCTCGGGGGAAAAGTGCACCTTTCTTCTCCAGAGTATGGGCTTCCATTTCTATCTGCTTTTCTTGAACTCTCTGGAAGAAGCAGGGGCAAAATAAGTGCTAATTTAAGGCATAGGTGAGGAAAAAGAAAAAAAATCATGATGTCTTTGTGGAAAAGACTAATATTGGACTAATAGTTCAACCATGATCTTATATAGCAGTGAATCTTCACCTTTATTGTTATGAACCTCTATGCCTTCAACACACTACTAGCATAGAATTTATTTAACAGTATCTGCCATATCTCCTTGGGGTTACCTGCTCTATTTAAATACCTCCCTTTCTAATTTCTCTTTTTACCATTCCATTAAAATGAAATTGGGCCCATGCATCTCTGGTTCATTGGCCTCCATTTTGCCGTTCCTCCACGTCTCCACTCTATCAACCTTTTGCTTCTAAGTGCTTCTCTCCTTTATTGCTTATTGTGAACATGAATAGTACCATGTGGTTATTTTTTCTGAATGTATGAACTGGACAGGATCAACCCAGCAGAAATCAGAATATTATTCAGTGTTAATTTTTTTACCGCTTTGAAGTCCAACATCTGCCATTCCCACAACACTGAATAATTTGGGAAGGAATTCTGGGTCTCATAAGCTTCCAGGAAAGAAGAACTTCCATCATAATGGGACTGACAGACACTGCAATAACTTGTTCAGGATCAGAACAGAGCAAATATTTATATAATTCTACTCTTTAAGTAGTAGCTCACTGGTCAAGGCTAATGGGAGATTCAATCCTATCTAGAGGCATCATTGATTTAAGGCTAGCAAGATATAGATGACAGGATGGGTGAGGAAGACACCATAATATATTCTCCTAGGCTCTTGGGATCGATACATTTACATTCTATCTTTCTCAGAGGAAAGTCTTTGTAGCTAACTTCCTTTGTAGCTGGAAAAAAGAAGTGAGGATGAAAAAAAGAGAGAAAAGAACAATTATCAGACAAAATGCTTAGGGTTTCATATATTTCCATCAGATGAATCCATTTGTGATTCGCATACAGGCTTTGAAGACAATACACATTTCTTTTAAAAAGCTTCAACTTAGCAGAAAGATTCCTATCTGTATAAAACAGGAAAGAAGTACCTCAGTTTAAAGGCTATGTTAAACTCTGCTCAATTTTCAGCATGGATGAATTTTATTTTTAAAAATAGATAAAAGCCCAGCATTCTTCTAAAAATCTGACTGGTTAATGAGGGCCAGTTTTTTAATCAACCAAAACACTTTTTAACCAATTAATCAGAGCATCCAACTACATATTGCATACCTATTACGATGGTACCTTGATACTCATCATAAATTGGTTCCAGGAAGCGCAATGAATACCAAAAACTATGAGTACCAGATTTTTCCCATAAGAAATAATGTAGTGAGTCACAGGGCAACGGACACTGACAAGTTCTAGCTTGTGCACTGAATACCAAATTCGATGAATTTCAAAGCAGTTGAGTATCAAGGCACCATTTTACTTATTCACATCAAAACAGAGCAACAGAAACACAAAAGACAGACCTTCAGCTCACGGCGTGTCTCATCCAGGAGTTTCAGAACATTCAGGCGTTCCCTGCGTGGTGTGTTAAGGAGAGGTAATGCATGGCTCCCAGCCTTTTCTTTCTCTAGGGCCTCTAAACGTAGCAGTCGTTCAGCCAAAGTGGGGTCAAGATTCTCAAGAGGCAGCAAACAACTGGTACAAAAAAAGACCAGCTTTGTGTCAGATTCTGTCTCACTCTTTCAACACGCCAGCCAGAGCAACAATCCCTTGATTCAGCATTTGGGAGGTGGCTTGGCTCTGTGGCATGAAAGAACTGGACTGCACCAAAATCTACCAAATACCTGGTGACTCACCTGAGTGGCTTCTCTTCAGATGGCCCTGGCTGTTCTTCTTGTAGGCAAGGTCTCTTGGCCTCAGGGCCCGCATCATTGAAGCCCAGACAAGGCCTCTTGCCATCTGTGGAAGAAGAGGATTAGCTGTCTTTGTCCAACAGTTACGGTTTATGGGTAATTTTCAATTTACAACCATTCATTTAATGGGTGTTCAAAGTTACAATGGTACCAAAAAAGTGACTTATGACTGTTGCAGTGTCTTCCCTGGTCCTGTGATCAAAATTTGGACACTTGGCAGTATGAGATCGCCTTTTGCGATACTTCTGTCAAGCAAAGTCAAAGGGGAAACCAGATTAATTTAACATCCATTACTAACTTAAGAATTGCAGTGATTCACTTAACAACTGTGGCAGGAAAGGTTGTAAAATGGGACAAAAACTCACTTAAGAACTCTTTTGCTTAGCAACAGAAAATTTTGGGCTCAACTCACCTCAAATTTTGAGGTCATTAACGGTATTCAATCAGTTCAGTTCCTGCCGTCGCATGATAGGCTGATCCATAAAACTAATCACCTAGGTTGCTTTGTACAATTCTGTAGGCTAAAACTGGCTTTTTTGTGACTCAGTGCATTGTCAAAAGATAGCCATTTGTTTATCTGATATAAAAATAAAATTCTCAAAACCTGTCTCTTCCCTATTGTCCAACTCCATTGGCCGCTTTTAGGAAAAGGATCCTTATATCTTACATTATGATTTTGCCTTTTATGTTGTATATTATTCAAAATCATTCCATCATGTGTCAAAATAAAAAAGAGCATTAAAATAGGCTAACAAACTGAATTTGTAAAAGACAACATTCTTTTTTTTTTTTATTTGTTGCTTGGAAACTAAAAGATCAGGTAAGATGGAAAAAATTGCCAGGAAAGTATTCTCAGCTGTAGTCTCCAATATAAGTCTATTGTCCCACAAGCACCTTGGCATATAGTCATGCTGGTCACATGATCACAGAAGCATCTTCAGACAATGCAGGCTCCCTCGGCTAAGAAACAAGAGATAGGCACCTACCCCTTAGGGTCAGACAAGACTGGGCTGGGGAAACCTTTACCTTTACTGTCCCACAAGCTGTAGTAGCAGAAGCAGAACCCAGCTAAGGATCTAGTCAAGATATAACCCTATAAAGTCTCATTAATCTCATGAATTAATAACATTAATAATAATTAATTATTAATAATTAACGTTATTGCCAGAAAAGCAGATTACAGAGTCTTAGAATCTGGATAAGTACACTCTAGCCCAGAAGTGTCCAACTGTGGCACCTTTAAGACTTGTGGATGACAACTCCCATGCTGGCTGGGGAATTTTAAAAGATGCCAGAGTTGGACACCCCAGCACTAGCTCTTATTTATTTGCAAATAGATTAAAGCAGTAGTAAAGGGGAATTTTTGTAGCTCAGGGTTGGCATGAGGGGTCCTTGGTGCTCTCTGGGCTTGCTTGTTTTCTTATAGACGTTTCATTACCCAAACTAGGTAACATCATCGGTGCTAGTAAAGAGCGCAGTTTGCTGTCAGTTTATATTCTACTGGCTTACCGGTCAGTTTTGGTGGGGGTGATCTTAGAAATTCTTTGGATGGGCTGTTTACTGTTGGGTCTTTGATAGTTTCTTGATTGGAGTCCTGATTGGGGTATAACCAAAGAATCTCTAAGACCACCCCCACCAACACTGACTGGCAAGTGAGTAGAATATAAACTGATAGCAAACAGTGCTACTTTCTAGCACTGATAATGTTACCTAGTTTGGGTAGTGAAACATCTGCAAGAAAACAAGCAAGCTCAGAAGGCAACAAATGCCCCTCAGATTAAAGCAGGGTCATCTGAGCCCCCTCTTTTTCAGAGTCCTTAACAATCAATTAACTCTTGTTATCTGGAAAGATTTGTTTGACTGCAGTGGATAACACATACTGTATTTTTCGGACTATAAGATGGACCTGACTATAAGACGCACCTAAATTTAGAAGAGAAAAACAAAACAAAACAAAAAAAGTTTTTGGCCTCCCTTTTTTCGGCCCTTTTCCAGTCTTTTTTTCAGCCCATTTTGGGGGCCTTTTTTGGCCCATTTTCAAGGCGTTTTTCAGCCCCTTTTGGGGGATTTTGGGGGGCTATTTTTGAGACTTTTTTCGGCCCATTTTTTCCAAAAACAATGGGCCAAAAAAAGCCTCAAAAACAGGCCAAAAAAAAAAGCCCCAAAAACAGGCTGAAAAGTGCTGAAAAAAGGCCCCAAAAAGAGGGAGTGCAGAGGCCAAAAAATGGCTGGCAGGGGGGCGGGGCTTCAGAAATATTCGGTCTATAAGACACACAGATATTTTTGCCCCCTTTTGGGAGACAAAAAAGTGTGTTTTATAGTCCGTAAAATATGATAAGTGAATTTGGAATATAGGCCTTCATCTGCCATGTTTTGGAAGATCCTTTCTTTCCATGATTTAGAAAATTTCTAAGGATACTTCTCTGTCACAGAAGGAAAATGAGGCAATATTTTACTTGATGCCTGAAACCCACTATAATTTGATAGGTTGGCCCCCTAATTCCCCACCAACTCTCTATACGGAAAATCCCAGTCTTTACTCAGGAAGAAGCAAGTGGAACTCCGGTTTTCTGGCCTCTCTATAGCTAGCAAAGTGCAATACTTGGTAGGGTGACTTCCTTGTCAGAATGTTCAGAAAAAGATCCACATTTATTATGTAGATTAAGGTTAAGGAGCTACTTGAGAAATGAAGATAAAAGGACAAAAAATTTCATGGATCCCAGAGTTTTTAACTTACATTCCACCTGTCAGATAGGAACCTACACAATACAAATTAAGACATAAGAATAATGCACATTATTATTTCAAAGAGAAATCTTTGAAATAATTTTCAGATCTCAAGGAACCTGCAAATATCCTTCTAACCCACACAGGTCCATGTTTTACATTTACAACAGGAAATCAGCAGGCCAGCAGCCGAATGCAGTGTGTAAGTTTTCCCTCACTATAATTGCTAGCATTATGTTGTGTACAGAAGTTGAAAAAAGAATATATATTTTTTTCAGTTACAATCTCCGGCAGAACTCCTAGTGACCTCTCAATTCCGACTGAGAAATGTTTCTCTGGAGCATTAATGCTAAGGCTGAAGAAAGGTCTCCCTTCCCCAAAATGGAAGGTAAAATAAAGTCAGCCCTCCTCCCTTTTCATGAACTCACCTGAGATAGATCTTCCTGCTTCTGGCTGGTTGTTCAGAGTTTCAGTTTCCCCAGATTTTGTTGGTTTTCTATTACCTATATAAGGTTTAAATTTGATTAACTTTTTTTGCCCCTGAACCTTTTGAAACATTTTCTTTTTTACTACATCCATTAAAAGCTTGTGTAAACTCAACTGTTTCGCAACTTGGAGATATGTGGACTTCAGCTCCCAGAATTCCCCAGCCAGCATGGCTGGTCTAGACCTTGGGAAAATGTTCTAGAATGTAGGTGCCATGATGAAAAAGTACACTACACTGCCACCACTTGCCTAGCCTTTCTGGGTAGAGCAATTAACACCAATATTTTCTCATTTAATTTACTCATGGAAGGTTCAAGTACTGAAGGTTATAAAGCAGATTTTTGTTGCTTGGTACCTTCCAAGGTGTAAAACTTCCAGAATTCTCAAAGCTTTCCCCCAAAGCCCAGTCCTCATAATTCCTGACTTACCAGTTTGTGGCAGGGTTTTTTGGGTGAAGGGTTTATTCACAACTTGTTTGGACTTTGCAGCAAAGTTGAGGCTTGTGAGAGTGTCAAAATAATACTTCTTTTCTGGAGCGATGTTTGCAATAATCAAGCTGTGGGCACTGCCTCCCAGAGAGTCCTAAAGGAAAGGGAGATTCCAGGGAAAAGATCAGTCCCTGATGCCAACTCCTTCCCATCACAGGAAAATAAAAATGAACCCCAATTACCTGCAGCAGACGGGTCAGCTTGCTGTCTCTATAGGGAACTCGAGGCAAACCTTGATTAAGGGCATCAACCACCTTGCTGAGCACAAAGAGGGAGCTGTTGATGGCTCCACTCTCTTTCAAGCGTAGGCCTTTGTTGCCCGTTCGCCGATTGTCCTCGGAGCCTGCTAAGTCGATGAGGCACAGCTTCGCAGTCTGGTGAGAATATGTGGGCCAGTCCCGGATCCGGTTCACCAGAACCAGCAATACAGTATGACTGCGGCTGGAGCGCTGGTTCAGCTGAGTTGATGCCACCGTTCGCTTTCTGCTTGCGGGCAGAAAATGGCTTTCAAAGTCTGCAAAGTTAATGATCTCTTTCTGGGTCAAGTCTGGCACCAGGATGTTGTGGTTACGATCCTCTCTGATCGGCAGGTCTCGGAGGGAGGGTTGAAGAAGGTCCAAAACCTGAGGAATGGAGGAAAAATGGATGGTGGATGTGGAATTTCACATGCACCCCTCCTCAACTGCTTGTTTATCTTTCCCCCAGATAAGTTGATGCATCCCAGCAAGAACATTTTCCCCCAGGTAAATAACCTGGGCACTGATTTTTTAAATTGTTAAAAAAAACCTTTTTTCAAATCTCAAGTTTCTCAAATGCCAGGTTGCTGAATCAATTCTACATTGGTTTCTCGTTTTTCTCTTAAGACACTCATTTCAGTCCTCGGTCAAATGAGTCTTTTTCCTGCCTATTATACTTCAGGTATAAGAGGCTTTTTTCTCCTTAATACTCTCTGTTAGATTTCTGTTGTTGCCATGAGAACTGTCATCCTTCAGCACTAGCCATTAGAGCTGGGCTGATGATAGCTGGAACCCAGCAAAATCTTGAGAACTACAAATTCCCACATCTCTCCAGTCTTTTCTTCACATGCGTCAGACGTAGGAAATCAAGAGAGAATTCAAAAGCACTATGAGTTTATTTCCTGCTACCTATTCAGAGGAATCTGATCTAGTAATGGTCAAGACAAATAGGCACCAGATAAGTCAACAGATTTAAGGGGGAGCTAGTCTTAGAACTCTTATGGAACATAGTAATTCTAAACCGATGATGCGTTTGAAGCCGCCCTCAGACTCAGCCAACCTGGTCATCTCCTACACGTCTTATTTTTCTTATCCTTTCATCTCTTTCATTCTCTGTAGCCATTAGCTTTCTTTTGCCTTCCTCTAGTCCAGGGGTGTTAAACTCGCTTTGTCACAGCAGCGTCACGATGTATCGGGACTTTTTTCCCCCTTTGCTAAACCGGGCGTGACCAGTGTGTGACGCATCCAGCTCATGGGCCGGGAGTTTGACAGCCCTGCTCTAGTCCTTAAGCTTGTGTTTTTTTTCCTTTCTCCTTTGCAAGTGCTCCCTTGCCATCTGCTCCTTCCAAATAGTCATGCCTCAATTCTTCATCAATCTTTGGAACTGAAATAATTCCAGCCAAGGACAATATAGAATATCAGGGGGCATCAAAACATAGAGACATCTCTGAGGGAGCCATGAAACAGTGAGGTGATAAGGAATAAATGTTGCATCACCAGTCAGCTAGGCTAGGGTAGGCCCCATAGTCCTTTATGGTGTACTTCTGTGTTGGTGGTCAACCTCAGCAACTTTAAGCTGTGTGGACTTCAACTCCCAGAATTCCCCATCCAGCCATACTAACTGGGGAATTCTGGGAATGGAAGTCCACACACAGCTTAAAGTTGCTAAGATTGAGCAATATGGCCTATTTTAAGATCTTGGCTTAACTTCAAAATCTTCCTTCAAAAGGTCAAACTGAGATTTCCAATAAAAAGTATCTACAGTATTAGGTTCTTATGGTTCTCTGAGCTTGACTGTTTTCCTGCAGACATTTTTTTATGAGAATAACTAGCATCATCAATATATTGAGGAAGATGGGCAGTTTCTAAACGTGATAAATATCATTCAACTCTGAGGTACACATATACTCTTCCATGAGAGATATCCATCCCTAGGGGTGCAGTGGTTCAGTAGCTTAAAGATGCTGGATTTGACAGTCACAAAAGTTCAGCTCTTTGTACTCAGTTTTAGCCCTAGCACCACATGAAGGAATGTGCTGTCACTCGCCTCAGCTTCAGCCAACTTAGCAGTTCGAAAGCATACAAAATGCAAGTAGATAAATAAGTACCAGTCTGGTGGGAAGCTAATAGCACTTTGTGTGGTAGAAATAAACCAACTTGCGCTGGTCTTGCCCAAATGCAAGGCGAAATCAGTGGACGATAAAGGTCCAGATGACACCAACATTAGCCATTGTGTGTGTTAACTAGTTTGCTCCCTGCGGTGCACCCTGGATAGTGTGTGATGTGAACTAAACAATCTAGTAATTTTAGGCAGCCAAATTACTCTGTAATAACATTGTAGACTCCCTGGCTCTCAATGTACAAGCACCAATACGCTAAATAAATAAATAAATATCTATTCATAAGTTTACTTCTTGGGGGAGAGAGGGATAGGCAAAGTTATCAGAAAAGAATGGAGGAATATCAGAAATTATGTCTGAATGCCTAACTCCACTCTGTCTGTGCTCTGACTCCCCGGTCCCTTGCTTCAGTTCCCACTTGTTCAAATAACCTTGAATGAAAGTAGAAAAAAGATTGTCCAGCGCTTCCTACACCAATTAGTAAACAAGAGGTAGTGTGTTTATATTCAACACATTTTTCCATTAAAAGGAGTGATAAATCCTTTAAATATAAACACATCGCATCCATCAACAGAATCACTTGCTGATTCACTCAATTGGCCATGCTCTCTCCATCGGATCTGGCTTTTTATTCCCATGTTTTAAATTCCTCTCTTCCCAGAAAAATCCTGTCATTCTGCGCCATTATACTTACTGGGCTTAATTTCCCCTTTGTACGATTCTGTAAATCACATATTTTTACCTTTTCTTGATAGATTTCCAGATAGGACATAGAGATAGAGTATTTGCATTTATCTTCTGAAGCATCCCTTGTCATCTGCAAGACATCTCGAACAGCTCGAGGGATCACTCCTGGATGATCTGGACTGCCCAGCATGGTGTGTGTCTTGCCTGATTTGCAGGAGACAAGATGAGAACAGTATAGCATCATCATCTCCTTTTAGCCCAGTTCTTTCCCCCAGATGAGCCCAACTGGGTTCATTTGATTTCTTTGTAGCACTGCCTTATATTCACCTGCTCCAGTTGGTCCATAAGCCAGTATGCTAGCATTCTGCCCCTTCAGCAGATGATGTAAGACAGGCTGAACTGACCCCATGTAGACATCATGTTGGGTGGCTGCCTCACCATAAAATGCATCAAACCTGGTGAAGAACGTGTGAATGTGAAAGGAAAGTAGGACAGAGGTTTACTGGCTTCTCTGAATTTTTTCTTTAGCGATCTTGAAAAATAGAACAACAAATCCAAAAGTTTGTTTTAATGCAAAAGTATATAACCTGTTTACAATTCCCATACTCCTCTGCAATTAGATATGCTTGCTGAAGTTTAGTGAAAGCTACCAAATTACTTGCCTTCATATACCCACTGATATAATTAAAAAAATATTTCTCCCATGTATCTATTCTTATGGCTCTTGGGCTCCTTTCCTCTGCAGTTTTGAACCACAAAATATTGTTGACATTTTATTATTTATTCCCTGCCTTTATTATTATTATTTAATAACTCGAGGCAGTGAGCATACTCCTTGAGTATGGATACCTTCTTCCTTCTATTTTCCCCACATCAATCCTGGGAGATGGGTTGAGCTGAGAGAATGGCCCAAAGTCACCCAACCGGATTTCATTTCTAAGGCAGAACTAGAACTCTGTGTCTCCTGGTATCTTAACCACAAATCAAACTAACTTCTGTTCATATAATGCATCCCAGCAGTTCATTCCCATAATACGTGCATGTAAAGAGGCTAATCATAAAAAGTAGCATGACCCAGAAGAAAAAGCATCTGTCATTGCTCATGTAGCAGAGTTCAACCCTGTGGAAAATTAGGCGCACTAAGTGTCATTCAAATGTATGTATGTATGTATGTATGTATGTATGTATGTATGTATGTATGTATGTATGTATATATGTATATATTTATTTATTTAATTAATTTTTATACCGCCCTTCTCCTGAAGGACTCAGGGCGGTGAACAATCAAAATAACATACATATAAAATGTGAAATAAAGCAATTTAAAATAATTAAACCAATTTGGATAAAAAACTCATCAGTTAAGAATCTTCAGCATAATATTTAGAACAATTAGAAGAAATTTATGCTAGCACGGCTTGGTGAAACAGAAAGGTCTTAAATGCACGACAGAAAGTACGGAGATCTGGGATCATTCCTATCCCTGGGGGTATCCTGTTCCAAAGGGTAGGTGCCCCCACAGAAAAGGCTCTCCCCCTGGGAACCACCAGTCGACATTGCTTTAGTGATGGCACCCTGAGAGGCCCACTATGTGGGACTGTATTGGTTGGTGGGAGGTTATCGGTTGCAGAAGGTGGTCTCGTAGGTACCCAGGTCCTAAGCCATGGAGCACTTTAAAGGTAAGAACCAACACCTTGAAGCGCACTCGGAAGACCACCGGGAGCCAATGCAGCTCGCGTAGGAGAGGTGTTACATGTGAGCGCCATGTCGCTCCCAATATCACCGGCGCAGCTGCATTCTGGACCAGTTGGAGCCTCCGTGTGCACCACAAGGGGAGCCCCATGTAGAGAGCATTACAGTAGTCCAGACGGGAAGTGACGAGGGCATGGGTGACTGTGCATAAGGAGTCCCGATCTAGAAAGGGTCGCAACTGGCGAATCAGGCGAACCTGATAGAAAGCTCCCCTGGCCACAGCCGTCATATGCTCTTCTAAAGACAGCCACGTGTCCAGGAGGACACCCAAGTTGCGAGCCCTCTCCGTGGGGGCCAATGACTCACCCCCAATAGTATTGAATCCCCTATCCAACTTACTTGTATTTCATAGTCTCCAACTCATTTCTCCAGTTGAGAATTTCCAAGGAGTGGGAGTCCACACCTCGTACACATGGAGCTTCCTGACCTAGTCCAGTCCCCACAGCTGGACGTAGTCGTACACAAACCTGTACTTGCTCAGAGACATTATCAGAGTGGTGGAAGTCAGCCCGGCTTAATCGCTGATGAGTTGCCATGAATACCTGTGGGGGGGAAAAATACAGGATTGAACAAATGTATTAGCCAATGTATATACTACGATATCCAACAGAAGACCAACAAAAGGCAATGGCATCCTATTTTTTTTAAGTGTTACACATGTTCTCCTAGGTTTGGCTTATGGTCACTCACTCACTCACAGCTCTGGAAAACTGCCACACGCAAATCAACTTCAACTCAACACTGTGGCACAACTAGTTCTTTAGAACAGTGGCCCCCAGCTTTTGGGCACCAAGGATCAGATTTCCGTGGAGAGGTTTTTCCATGGACCAGAGAGGGGCATGGTTTTGCATGTTGCCTGGATCCCATGGATGGGGCTTCGCTTGTTTGTGCGGCCCAGTTTCTGGCATGCCATGGCCCAGTGCCAGTTCACAGACTAGGGAATGGGGAACCCCTGCTTTAGAATACATGGAAACCCAATAACAGCAAACTTTACTGGTTGCAATATATGTCTATTTGCTCTTTCATACATGCGCACACACTCACTCACTCATCCTTACCCACATCCCCAACAAGGCTGGCAGGCATTAGCCAAAGGGACAGAAGCTGCCAATTCTGAGTCCAAAGACAACTCAAAGGGTTGGCAGGACCCCTTTTATCCCCCACAGTCCTTGCTTTGCTCTGGGTAGCTGTTGTTGGAACTTGGGAGAGGGGTTTCCCATGTGCTCAGACTGAATTTCTTTTGTTTGATTCAGGTGACATTTTTTCCCTTTGTTTCCATAACAACTTTGTTCCTTCTTAATTACTTTCTGAGAGAGAGCTTTTCCTAACTTTTGTCCTCCCTGCTTCCTTACCCTCATTGGGAATGGCAGCTTCAGCCTACTTTACAAAAGTCTAAGTAGATTTTAAAGCGTAAACTTGACTTCTGAAAGCAACTAAAGCTATTCTTATTCATCTTGACATTTATTAGATATCAAAACCAGACTGCTTTTTCACTTCTCTGTTGTTTCTTTAGGGGGGAAAAATAGTGTTTAACATGTTTTCTTGTGATCATTTTAAGGAATCCCTCCCCCCAACTATCTTTAAAGTAAGAATCACAAGAAATAAAATTCCGTTGTTCATAGGTATTAACCCTTTCATAATTTAACATCAATACTGTGGTGTTTTATTACAGTTTGATCGAAAAAAACACGGTTTTTTTTTTAAATCATTGGAATTGTTCCTGAACTTAACCACTATACATTTCCATAGAAGCATACTATGGTATGGGAAGGGGTATTATAAGCAATCAAGGAAAATGAAACATGCATTTAGAAAAAAAAAATCGACGGGCGATCCATCTTGCATCAAGCTGTTTGAATTAAATGAAATTTAAGGAACTGGACTTCATTTTGGAGGCAAAAACCCCTCTGATGTCGGATCGAAGCCCTATTTTGCAAGGAGGCTTTTGATGGAACTTGGATTTCTTTCTAAGCATCTAAAATGGGATTTACTTCCAAATGCCAGTTTCAAAAAAATTAAGTGTCCCAGCCACACATTTGCACTCACCTTTACCAAGCCCAAACCACTTCGCCCTGCGCACAACTCGAATCCCTATCTCCGTTTGTATTTGGCGCTAAGCCCGCCTCGTAACGGGAAGCAGACCAATGGGAGAAAAGAAAGGAAACTTGCGTTTGCCTCCTGCGCATGCGGATCGCTCTCTCAAGTGCGGCGACCTCTAGAGACGTGGGAAGGGGTTATAAAAACAGACGGGAAAGGTGCGCATGCGCATTGGAACAAAAGGCCGTTTGAAGAAGATACGCATGCGCAGCAAAATGATAAATTCGGAACGGAAATGCTACGTAGGGCGTAAACGCATTCTTAATAAACACCTATTTGACATTGAACTAATTTTCCACAGATTCCTATTTTTTTTTTTGTATTGCGATTAGAAACCTTAAGAAACCAATCTCTCCTCTATTGGAACATGAGTTTTGCCACACCAATCTTCAAGAGGTCCTTCTTGCACTTTTCCTTATAAATACATTTTTAAATGTCCAGGCTTTATTTGTTTTTGTTCACTCGTAATAGTTTTTAATCTCTAATTTTGTGTGAAAACAGGACAATAAATAACACTCATTTATTCAATTTTTTTTTTAAAAAAATGGTTGTCAGGGAGACCGGACATAATCCGTTTTTTTTTTTAAAAAGGGGGGATAGCGCATGCGCAATGCACCGCCCAAGCCAGTCGCGCGCTGATGTCTTTTTTCCAAACGCTCTGTGGGGCGGGATTGGATTCATCGCCCGAAGCTGCGATCTATTGTGCTAGGCTCGATTTTTACAGTCTCCCTAAGAGGGGAAAGTGGTGGTTGGGGGTAGAAAAGTCCTTTCGCGAGCTCCGATGCGTGGATGAGGCGGTGGAGTTGCCGACTCCGATTGTCTGCTTAGGGTTTAGCGCCGCCCCTTGGGGCCGTAGTGCCTCTGAGCATACACAGAATGCCTTTTCTCAAAAAGACAACGGGTTCGCCGCTCTTTTATTGGCCCAAGATTTAAATCTGAGGCATCTGCTTTTTGCAAAGCAGTTAAATTACTTCGGTCCCTTCAGCATCTCATGCACAACCCTCGGACCTGAACCCAGGACTGGAGCTTTAAGGCTGCGCTTAACTCCTCTACCGAAATCCTTAACTTCGTTTGACAGGTTCTCACGGTTAACCTTTGGAGATTCGGGGAAGGTCGGTAGAAAAAAAAAACATGGCCCCAGAGTCTATTCTTGTTTTTCTTTCTTTCTTTTTTTGAAGATATGAATGTGGTTCAGTATGACGTGGATGTGAAAACCTGTTTAGTTTTGACTCCTGATTAATTTGCTCACTTCCATTAAGTTATAACCATGAGAAAATTACAGGTAGTCCTAGACGTAGAACCACAAGTGAGCTCAACATTTCTGTTGAGACGTTTGTTAAGTGAATTTTGCCCCATTTTACGACCTTTCTTGCCACAGTTGTTAAGTGAATCACAGCAGTTGTTAAGTTAGGGACGGGATTGTTAAATGAATCTGGCTTCCCCGTTGACTTTGCTTGTCAGAAGGTCACAGACCCTGGGATACTGCAACTGTCATAAATAGCAGTTAATTGCCAAGCATCTGAATTTTGATCACATGACTATGGGGAATGCTGCAATGGTCATAAGTGTGAAAAACAGTCATAAGTCATTTTTTTCAGTGCCTTTGTAACTTTGAACAGTCACTAAATGGACTGTTGTAAGTTGAGGACTACCTGTGTTTGTACAGAGCTTTCAAGCGGGCAACATATTCTGTGTATGTATTCTAGCTATTGATTATTAGATTTTAATCTAATAGATTTTAATTATTATTTTATTTTATAAGTAACTCAAAGTGGCGAACATACCTAATATTCCTTCTTTCCCTATAACAACAAACCTGTGAGGTAGATTAGGCTGAGAGAGTAGTGACTAGCCCAAATATACTCAGCCAACTTCCATGCCTAAGGCAAGACTAGAACTCAAATTCTGTTTCTAGTCTGGTGCCTGAATCACTACACCAAACTGACTGAATTGGTACAACAACTCTAGTGAGTTGTTATATTGGTATTGCCTATAAATAAGAGGCCTGAAGTGAAGAGATCCTGGTTTGAGATCCAGTGAATGCATGGTTCATACATCTTTTATATCTCTATACTGCTCTCTTCAAACCTAGGGTAGGTGATTAATTTTGAATAATTGGACTACTTGTTTATATACTAATTTGACAGAAATCCACCTGTACATAAAGCTATTTAGACCTGCTTAGATTTCTTTACGATTGTGATGTTTGTCTCCTGCCAGTATAGCGACTGTTTAGCAACTGAATAGCCAAGATTATAATTTCATCTGCATTTGTAATGTTTTTAAATATTTTTGGGATAGTATATATGTTTTTCTAAATTACTATAGGCTTTCGTCATGACTTCCATCTCTGGAAAAATCACTGGAATCAAAACCATCTGTATATACTGCTTTTAATTTCCCTGGTGGAAAAGCCTTTTAAAAAACCTTGCCCATTCTTGCAATATCTTGGAGGCATAATAGTATTATTAAAACCTAAACAAAGTGTGTTTGCATGAGAAGTTGCTTTTTTATGTAGTTAATTCCAAAAGTTTATAGCAAAAGTCAATATTTCAAATTACCTGGGCCCTTAAATCCATTTCTGACTTTTTAGATCAAAATCATATTTAGCTTTTTGCTATTTATTTCAAAAAATTATGTCCTCAACTTTGTAATTAATTTATTACAAATTAGTTGAAATTCGTTGAAGAGTTGAAAATAAACCCACCGATGAAGACTTTTCAAATCCTGTCATTCCAAAGGTCTCTCTAATATCTTCCGAATAGTTAGCAGGGACTTTCTGAAAGTCATTAGAAAATGATATTTGCAAACTTAGTGTCCTTTAAAAAGCTTTGCCATGGTTGTGAACAAGATGGCTACTTCCTTTGTCTCCCAGTATTCAAACCCATGGGAAACTGATGTCCTGCTGTCTCCTCATGAAGAGCAGTTGTCCTGAGCATATGTGGGTGATCTCTTGTCCTTTCCTTATCCAGAGAAGTTCCAAGGAACTGGTCTACTCACTGGTTCCTTGGGCTTTGCCTTCGTCGTTGGTGTTTCTTTCACATAGCTGCCTTCAGTTCACCATACTTCTTCTGGAAGCCTTTTTCTTTTGCTATTTTGATAGATGTTCTGTTAGTACATAAATCTATTTGGGATTTGTAGATGATAAAAATCTGCTTATTATGAACCAAAACTTAAGATGCTGGGCTTGTCGGCTGGAAAGCTGGCAGCTCAGGGTTCGAGACCTGAGCACCATGAGACAGGGTGAGTTCCCATCCTCGCCCCAGCTCCCGCCAACTTAGCAGTTTGAAAGCATGCAAATGCGAGTAGATAGATAGGTACCACTTTGGTGGGAAGGTAACTGCTCAGTGACATCATGGTGGCCACATAACCGTGGAAACAGTGCTGGCTCAAAGGCCTTGAAATAGAGATGAGCACTGCCCCCTATAATAGGCAACGACTAGCGGAGTAAAATCCGCAGGGTCTCTTACATTTTCAGTAACCCAACATTATTTTGTGCTTTTCTTCATTTTGGGATACGCACTAGAATAGATATAGCATTATATTTGTAACGTTTAGCCAGTTATCTCAGATTCTTGACACCTCAGAGTTCACCATATTTGCGCTTATCCTCTGGTCTCATCTTCTCTTTATTATAGCCATGGAAGAAGCCAGCACTGTGGAGGAAGGGGAAGTGACCTCAGGGATGCAATCCTTGGCAGTGGAAGATGGGCCTGCTCCGGATTTAGCTTCTGCCACTGAGGAACAAGATGACGCTGCCAGAGAAACTGAGGGGGAATTATCAGGGAAGGGAGAGAAATCTGCTGAAGAGGATTGGTGTGTCCCCTGCAGTGATGAGGAGCTGGATTCTCCAGATAACTGGATGCCTGAACCCAAGGAGATCCGCCGTTTATATGAGCTCATTGCTGAGCACGGGACTTTGGAGATTCAAGCTGAAATCCTCCCTCGGCGCAATCCAACCCCAGAGCCTGACAGTGAAGATGAGGATAAATCTGATGGACAATCTGAACAGGAAGAAGAGGAGGAAGAGAAGTGAGAAATTGTTTTTTTTTATTTTGCTTAAAAGAGGTAGGGCGGGGAGGGAGGAATCTTAAATTTTGAAATTATGTTAAGGGGAGGAATGATAGGATTGAGAATATTGCCAAGTTGATTCTTTTTTTCCCCCTCTGTTTGATCCAGGCCTCATGTGCCTACTGAGTTCGACTTTGATGATGAGCCTGCCACTCCCAAAAGCTCCTTGATTGATCGACGGAGAACTCCTGGTATGTAAGGAAGGCAGTTGAGTTTCCAGAAGAAGACAGAAGAGCATTGCCAGGCCAATGATTTATGGAATAGAGCATTCTGCCCACAAGCTGGGTGTGGGTGCAATAGGACCTTCCCTCTTGTGTTCCCAAGTGCAAATAGTAATAGCACTTAGACTTATGTACCGCTTCACAGCGCTTTACAGCCCTCTCTAAGCGGTTTACAGAGTCAGCATATTGTCCCCAACAATCTGGGTCCTATTTTACCAACCTCAGAAGGATGGAAGGCTGAGTCAGCCTTGAGCCGGTCAGGATCGAACTGCTGACAGTCGGCAGAGTTAGCCTGCAATATTGCATTCTAACCACTGCACCGTCATATTCAGATCATCATATCATATCGAGATATAATCAACCGTTTGTTTAGCAAATCTGGACAGGAGCAGTTGTTGACCACCAATTTCACTTGCTGTATACAGATAGTCCTCGACTTACAACCATTCTTTTAGCAACCATTTGAAGTTACAATAGCACTGAAAAAAAGTTCAGCCGTCATGACCAGCAGCTACTGAACTACTGTATAATCGTTCTCCGTTACATGGTGTCAGATCCTTCTATAATGCGAAGTTGATACCCTGTTTCCCCAAAAATAAGAAATCCCCTGATAATAAGTCCAATCGGGCTTTTGAGTGCATGCGCTAAAATAAGGTTCTCCCCGAAAATAAGCCCTCCCCGAAAATATTTAAACGCAGAGCTGGAAATCAGGTAAGACAGCAAGAGGAACCCCATCTTGCTCCACATGCCCCAAAATAATAAGACCTCCCTGAAAATAAGGCCAAGCGCTTATTTCGGGGTTCAAAAAAATATAAGACAAAGTCTTATTTTTGGGGAAACACGGTAGTCATCTCTCCTCTGATGGTGAGTTGATTGAAGAACTACTGTCCTGAATCTCCCACCATTTGTTCGATGACTCCAACTTGTAGCTTATGCAAGTGAGAAAAGGAAAGGAACTCTTCCTCCCTTGCATAATTTTTATACATCCTACCAATTTAATCATTTTTATTGAAGTTGAAAACTCACAGAGAGGGCCAAGTTTGGTGAGTGGTTAAGGCACAGGATAGAAACTGGGAAACCAGGAGTTCTAGTTCCACCCTAGCCATATAGCCAGCTGGATAACCTTGGGCCAGTCCCTCTCTCTCTCAACCCTAGGAACGCTGATAAAAAGCAATGGCAAACCACTTCTGAAAAACCTTGCTAAGAAAACTGCAAGGACTTGCCTAGGCAGTCCCCAGGGATCAATAATGATTCAGTACGTACATGTGTGTGTGTGTTTGTGTGTACATAAAATGGTTATATTTTCAGAGTCTGTCATATTTTCCGTCCACATTTCCCACTAGTGTTTATTATATAAAAATAGTAGATTTTTAGAAAGAGGATCCTAGACAGAAAAAAATGTTTAAATCGCCTCTTGTGTTGTAACATTCACGTTTTGAAGAACCCCCATTGCTGAGAAGCAGTACAGGTGGTGCTCAACTTACGTCCACAATTGGGACAAGAATTTTCATTGCTAAGCCATTCGGTTGTTAAGTGAGTCGCACCTGGTTTTATGACCTTTGGGTTTTTTGGGGTTTTTTTTGCCAAAGTTGTTAAGCAACTCACTGCAGATGTTCAGCGAATCATATGGCCATGAAGGAAATCCAGCTTCCCCCATTGACTTTACTCATCAGAAGCTGACTGGAAAGGTGATCACATGACCATGGGATGCTGCAATGGTCTTAAGTGTGAGGACAAAGTCATAAGTCACTTTTCTCAGTGCCATAACTGAACGGTCACTGAACCAGTGGTTGTAAATAGAGGACTTATCTGTATAAAAATGTATAGAGATTATTTATTGATAGGTAGCAAAGATGTCAATTTCTTAACCTAACAAATAAATGCTGTTGCTAGGTAGTTTTCTCCCACCTGCTTCCTCATGATTTTTAATTATTTTGCAATTCTCTGTAAGAACAGCAAAGATTGCACTATATTTTTACCTCGCAGACCTATTAAGCTAGTATGATGTATGAACTTCATCTTCCAACCCTGATTTCTGATTAATTTGCAGGGACGTTAGCAAAGAGTCAGAAAAGAGAAGCCCGCCTGGACAAGGTACTGTCAGACATGAAGCGTCATAAAGTGCTGGAGGAGCAAATTATGAAGACCGGCTGTGACCTCTTTGACCTTGATTCAGATGATGTACCCACTCCAAAACGACCCTCTGGTCTCTTTCTCCGTCAACGCAAATACTAACAGTAACGAAGAGAACAAGTCGAGAGAGGAAGATGGAGTAGAACTATGGGTACAGATACAAGGGGAAAGAACTCCTGCCTAAACCTATTGCATCTGTTAGTACCCTGGACTTAGACTGTGATCCTGTATGGGTTACTAGAGGTACTAGTTTCTCGGTGTAATAAAACTCTATGAATTTGCTTTTAATTTAATTTCTGTGAACTATTCTTATAGAAGAATAGAATAGAATAGAATTCTTTATTGGCCAAGTGTGATTGGACACACAAGGAATTTGTCTCAGTGTACATAAAAGAAAAGATACGTTCGTCAAGAATCATAAGGTACAACACCTAATGGAAAGAGTTGCCAATCAGGAGGAGAGGAGTTGTTGAGCACCTACAATCTCACTTGCCATATACAGACTTAAAACCGTTCGTTTAGCAACCATTCAAAGTTACAACAGCAATGAAAAAAATGACAACTGGTCCTCGCAGTTACAACCATCCCCATGTTCACATGATCTGAATTCAGGTGCTTTGGCAACCAGCGTGCGTTTATGATGTTTACAGTGTCCCAGGGTCACGTGATCCCCATTTGCGGCCTTCCTATCCATCTTCCAACAACCAAAGTCAATGGGGGAAGGTGGATTCACTTAATGACCACATGATTCATTTAACAACTAGCGATTCACTTAACAACTGGCAAAAACGTCATTAAATCAGGTGCAATTCACATAACAACTGTCCTAGCTTAGCAACAAAATTCTGCCCCAATTGTGGTTGTAAATTGAGGTTGCCTGTACCCCAGTTTGACTGCTTACCTTTAATCTTTTTGTTATCTCAGAATTGATAAAGCTATGGGGTTCCTTGTCACAAATGTCCTTGTCAAAAAAGCCAACCCAGTTCTAGGCTGCATTAACAGGGATAGAATCAAGATCACGTGAAGTATTAATACCACTTTATAATGCCTTGGTAAGGCCACACTTGGAATACTGCATCCGGCTTTGGTCGCCACAATGTAAAAAAAAAAGATGTGGAGACTAGAAAGACTGCAGAGAAGAGCAACAAAGACGATTAGGGGACTGGAAGCTAAAACATAAAGAACAATTGCTGGAATTGGATATGTCTAGTTTAATGAAAAGGACTAGGGGAGACATGATAGCAATGTTCCAATATCTCAATGGTTGCCACAAAGAGAGAGTCAAACTATTTTCCAAAGCACCTGAGGGCAGGACAAGACGCAATGGGGTGGAAACTCATCAAGGAGAGAAGAAACCTAGAACTAAGGAGGAATTTCCTGACAGAATAATGGAACCACTTGCCTCCAGAAGTTGCGAATGCTCAACTTTTTAAGAAGAGATTAGACAACCATTTGTCTGAAGTGGTATAAGTTTTCTGCCTTATTCTATTCTATTCTATTCTATTCTATTCTATTCTATTCTATTCTATTCTATTCTATTCTATCCTATCCTATCCTATCCTATCCTATCCTATCCTATCCTATCCTATCCTATCCCTATCCCTATCCCTATCCCTATCCCTATCCCTATCCCTATCCCTATTCCTATTCCTATTCCTATTCATTCTTCTTCTAATGTCCTGTGATATAAAAGGGCACTGCAGCCATTGGGGTGATCCTTTGCCAGTTCCGAATCTACAGGAGGCAAAAACAGGCTCAGACTCAACCCCTCCAAGACCGAGTGGCTGTGGCTTCCGGCACCCCGATATAGTCAGCAGGTGCAATCGCTGACTATTGGGGGTGAATCTTTGCCCCCCACGGAGAGGGCTCACAATCTGGGTGTCCTCCTGGACGCGCGGCTGTCTTTAGAAGAGCATATGACGGCCGTGGCCAGGGGGGCCTTTTATCAGGTTCGCCTGATTCGCCAGTTGCAACCCTTTCTGGATCGGGACGCCCTGCGCACGGTCACTCATGCCCTTGTTACTTCCCAGTTGGACTATTGTAATGCTCTCTACATGGGGCTCCCCTTGAAGAGCACTCGGAGGCTCCAACTGGTCCAGAATGCGGCCGCGCGGGTGGTTATGGGCGCAACCCGTTATGCCCATGTGACACCCCTCCTGCGCGAGCTGCAATGGCTCCCGGTGGTCTTCCGGGTGCGATTCAAGGTGTTGGTTACCACCTTTAAAGCGCTCCATGGCATAGGACCCAGGTACCTCCGAGACCGTCTTCTGCCACCAATAGCCTCCCACTGACCAGTTCGTTCCCACAGAGAGGATCTCCTCAGGGTGCCATCAGCAAAGTTATGTTGGCTGGCGACGCCCAGGGGGAGGGCCTTCTCTGTGGGAGCCCCAGCCCTGTGGAACGAACTGCCCCCGCAAATTCGTAAGATCTCCGACCTCCGGGTGTTTCGCTGCGCATTGAAGACCCTGTTGTTCCGCCAGGCCGGACTATCAACACAATAGTTTTAAATTGGGGTATTTAAATTTATTGGGGTTTTAAATTTGAGCCACTTATTTAATTATTTTAAATTTTATATCATTGTTTTGTCTGTGTTTTTAAATAGGCTGTACACCGCCCTGAGTCCTTCGGGAGAAGGGCGGTATAGAAATAAAATTATTATTATTATTATTATTATTAAAAAGAACAATTCCTCACTTCATGTGAATGAAAAGCATAAATACCCTACCTAGAGTTGCCAGGGAACATGGCCTGGTTAATCAGAAATCTTAAATAGTAACCAAACTTGATCAACTTTAATTTATAAACAATTTGTAAACAGCATGTTTACATGCATAGATGGAAATTGTGGCTGTCATCACAATGCAAGGAGAGGATGGGGTGAGACTTTTGTTCTGCTCTTGGGAATTTAATGAGCAGGAAAAACAGAAAAATGTATTCAGAATTCCTGCTGGGCATAATTAGACACAAATCTGGCAAATAAACTTAAAACAGATTCCACTTCAAAAATTTGAGATGCCCTTTTTTGTGTGTGCGCCCTGTGTGTTTCAGCGGATTATCCCTGTACCTTTTAAAATTATTCTCTGAAGGATAATAAGATCCCACTGTCAAAGTTTTTAAAAAATCTTAAGAGCAAGATAAGAGGTGAACAACAGTGACTCATACTGTGTGGGAATTTAAAACAAAATGTGTACAGGAATTTGATGAGAGGAAAAAAACAACAAAGACTTTTAAAAGATTGGTAGCCTTTTTGTTGAAAGAAGAAAACACTGGACTGATGTCTTATGGGTTTGGGGATCAGAAAGGGGCAAGAATAAGATAAAAGTAGGATGGTAAATTTATATTTTTCTTTTTATTAATTTTTCTCCTTTTTTAACTTTTTATATTTTTATTGTACCTCGACTTACAACAGTTCATTTAGTGACCATTCAAAGTTACAACGGCACTGAAAAAAGTGAATTATGACAATTTTCACACAACCGTTGCATCATCCCCATGATCACATGATCAAAATTTGGATGCTAAGCAACTGACTCATATTGATACTGATAGTTGCAGTATCCCAGGGTCATGTGATCAACTTTTGCGACCTCACAAGCAAAGTCAATGGGGAATCCAGATTCATGTAACAACCATGTTACTAATTTAAGAGCTGCAGTGACAAGGTGGTAAAATGGGACTAAATTAACTTAACAAATGTCTTACTTAACAACATAAATTTTGGGTTCATTTGTGGTCATAGGACTATCTCTACATTCTAATTAAAAATATTTTTAAAAGTATACAGGATGAAAAACAGCTTGTCTGATTTGGGATAGTGATATTCTGGACAAATAAGCATTCATTATGTTTTTCTCTTCATATATTAGTACTATCCTATCAGTAATTTCAATAACTTTAGAGACCAGGAATACTGTATTCAGTTTTGGTCACCACACTACAAAACAGATGTTGAGATTTTGTAAAAAGTGCAAAGAAGCACAACTAAGATAATTAAAGGCCTGGAGACTAAAACATGAAGAACGGTTGCAGGATTTGGGTTTGGTTAGTCCAAAGAAAAGAAGGGCTAGGGGGGGTGACATGATAGCAGTATGCCAGTATATGAGAGATTGCCACAAAGAGGAGGGGGTCAATTTACTTACCAAAACACCTATAGGCAAGACAAGAAACAGCGGATGGAAACTAACCAAGGAGAGAAGCAACCTGGAACTAAGGAGAAACTTCCTAACAGTAAGAACAATTAACCAGTGGAACAGCTTGTTGTGATAAGTTGTAGGTGCTTCATCACTGGAGGTTTTTAAGAAATGGCTGAACTGTCTGAAATGGTATAGGGTTGTGATGATGAACCTATGAAGTGTGCCAGAGGTGACACGCAGAGCCCTCTCTGCGGGCATGTGTGACGTTGACAGCTGTTCTTCCGGATTCCATTGCACGCAAGTGTGCCAGACAGCTGCTCTCTTCTGGGTTCTGGCCCTCCAATGTGCATGCCAGTGGTGAGTTGCCCCCGGTTCGCACCGGTTCTATAGAACTGGTAGTAAAACCGGCGGAAGGCTCCGCCCACCGACCCTGATGTCATCAAAATGCTTCTGCACATGCGCAGCCCCGTTGCGAACCGGTGTGCTTCAATTTCAGCACTTGGTGCCGAAAAGGTTAACCATCACTGGTGAAAGGGCTCCTGCTTGAGCACGGGGTTGGACTAGAAGACCTCCAAGGTCCCTTCCAGCTCTATTCTGATCGATTGATATTTACCTTACTCCCTGCAGCTTTTGATCTCCATCCCATGTGATTTTCCTGTTTTTGGTTGCACTTCCTGACATCAGAGTTTAATGTACTTTTTAAAAATAAACCTGGCTGATATTCAAGAATAAAATCGTGGCTAGTGCCTTTAATCTCATAGAGCACACCACATGACTAAGTTCCAAATGGTTTCTCCTGGAAGAAAGAAATGTCTGGACAAAAAAACATGAGTTTCTAAGGATTTTATTGGAATACAGCTGGATAGAATTTTTCAAAATTAAATCCTTTGACACAAATGTTGAGCTACAGATATTGTGAAAGAACAATAATTTATCATAGACAGGTGGAAACGAACTATTTTACTTTGGTTAATTTCTTACCCTCCTTTTCTTCCCAAAATAACCCGAAGAAATCTATACTATTAATACAGAATGTGGATTTCATATATACTTCATTAAATTTGAAGGTAACTAGTACTACAGTGTAGTCAGCAACATTCCCACCTGCACAGGCTGAACAGAACAATGCCGTGAGAGGTGGGGACAGGATTCAAC